CATACCACATCTATCCAGCCAGCCATACAGGTCATACCACATCTATCCAGCCAGCCATACAGGTCATACCACATCTATCCAGCCAGCCATACAGGTCATACCACATCTATCCAGCCATACAGGTCATACCACATCTATCCAGCCAGCCATACAGGTCATACCACATCTATCCAGCCAGCCATACAGGTCATATCACATCTATCCAGCCATACAGGTCATACCACATCTATCCAGCCAGCCATACAGGTCATACCACATATATCCAGCCAGCCATACAGGTCATACCACATCTATATATGCAGCCATACAGGTCATACCACATCTATCTATCCAGCCATACAGGTCATACCACATCTATCTATCCAGCCATACAGGTCATACCACATCTCTCCAGCCATACAGGTCATACCACATCTCTCCAGCCATACAGGTCATACCACATCTATCTATCCAGCCATACAGGTCATACCACATCTATCTATCCAGCCATACAGGTCATACCACATCTATCTATCCAGCCATACAGGTCATACCACATATATCTATCCAGCCATACTGGTCATACCACATCTATCCAGCCATATAGCTCAAAATGAAACCATTTGTGATAGGACGTGGTGTGTTGATTGATGAGGTTTTTAAGAGAATGATTGTGTCCTTTTGATTTTAATGTAAAATGGTTCTCATAGTGTGACCTGGTGGTTCATCACACCCATGGCTCTCTGATCTTGAGTCATAAATATCATACTGTTACCCTGTGGTTCATCACAGCCATGGCTCTCTGATCCTGAGTCATAAACATCATACTGTGACCTGGTGGTTCATCACAGCCATGGCTCTCTGATCCTGATCCTGAGTCATAAACATCAGCCTGGGAGGGTGTGTTATTATTGTGCTGTTTGATGCACCTGTTTGGAGATGATGGGGGGGCTTAGTGTTAGCATTGATTATATTAGGGGCCTGTCAGACATTATAGGATGTCACGCCCTGACATAGAGTTTGCTAGTTGGTTTGGTCAGGGTGTGAATATCTATGTATGTGAGTTTCTATGTGTACATTCTATGTTTGTAGATCTATGTTGGCCGGGTGTGGTTCCCAATCAGAGGCAGCTGTCGATCGTTGTCTCTGATTGGGGATCATACTTAGGTAGCCATTTTGCCTACCTATGTTGTGGGATCTTGACTCTTGTTTTGGCTTGTTTGTGTGTAGCCATTGTGAGCGTCACGTTACGATTGAAAGATTGAAAGACAGACTTACAGTAAAAGGATGAGACATGATAGGGTAGGACTTCCTGACGGGCAGACCACAGGCTGTGGGGATTGGCAGACGGACATACAGTAAAAGGATGAGACATGATAGGGCAGACCACAGGCTGTGAGGATTGGCAGACGGACATACAGTAAAAGGATGAGACATGATAGGGTAGGACTTCCTAATGGGCAGACCACAGGCTGTGAGGATTGAAAGACAGACTTACAGTAAAAGGATGAGACATGATAGGGTAGGACTTCCTGACGGGCAGACCACAGGCTGTGAGTATTGGCAGACGGACAATTTTTTAATTTTATTTATTTTTTGTTTAGCCAGGTAAGCCAGTTGAGAACAAGTTCTCATTTACAACTGCGACCTGGCCAAGATAAAGCAAAGCAGTGCGATAACAGTAAAAGGATAAGACATGATAGGGTAGGACTTCCTGACGGGCAGACCACAGGCTGTGAGGATTGGCAGACGGACTTACAGTAAAAGGATGAGACATGATAGGGTAGGACTTCCTGACGGGCAGACCACAGGCTGTGAGGATTGGCAACAACACCTCCTCCATAATGACTCTTAACACAGGGTCCTCAGCCCTCTGCTGTACTCCCTGTTCACCCACACCTGCGTGGCTTTGCACGACACCAACTCCATCATCAAGTTTGCTGACAACACCATGGTTGTAGGCCTGGTAACCAACAATGACGAGTCAGCCTATAGGGAGGAGGTAAGTGAACTGGCATTGTGGTGCCAGGACAACAACCTCTCTCTCAACGTCAGCAAAACAAATGATTTCTTCAGGAAGTAGAGGAGGGAACATGCCCCGATCCAAATCAATGGGACTGCAGTAGAGAGAGTCAGCAGTTTTAAGTTCCATGGCGTCCACGTCACCGAGGACTTGACATGGACCAACAACACCACCACTCTTGTCAAGAGGGCGCAACAGCATCTCTACTTCCTAAGGCGGCTGAAGAAATTCAGCATGCCGCCCCGCGTCTTCTCCAAATACTACCACTGCACCATCGAGAGTACCCTGACTGCTTCCATCGTGGCCTGGTACAGGAATTGCTTCTTCCACGACCGCAAGGCCCTCCGGTGGGTACATCACGGGGACCGTGCTCCCACCCAACCAAGACATATACTCAAAACGGTGCCTGGGGAAGTATTAACAAGGACCCCACACACCCCAGCCACGTGCTGTTCACTCCCTTACCGTAGGGCAGACTGATACCAACAGGCTCAGAGACAGTTTCTATCTACAAGCCATCAGACTGCTGAACACTTGAACTGGACTGACCACTTGCTCTGATTCTCTGCACCTTAGCACACATGCACTCACTCACATACACACGCACACGCACACACACACACACACACACACACACACACACACACACATACATTCATGCTACACACACATCACAACTGCTGCTACCAGATTCTTATTATAATTCCTAAATACAGCACAATTTAAACACTTGCCCCCCCCAATCCCCCCTTCCCCAAAACATATATTTTACTATAGATTTGTGCCTTCCTGTATTATACTAAAATGTTTATTCTACTGAGCCATTTACTTTATGTTGGCATTATACTTTATTATTTCTTATTTTTGTTGCATTGTCGAGAAGGAACCTGCACGTAAGCATTTAGTTGGACGGTGTATACCATGCGTATCCTGTACATAGGACTAATACAACTTGAAACTTGAAAAATGACCACATGCCTAGAAAAGGATGATATGTTTTGAAGACCACAGTGATCAACCACAAAAGAGCTATGTCCTATAGAGCTGGGATAGCCTGCTGTTTCATCACTAATTGTACTTAATTGTACAGCTTTTCTTCTCTCTGTGTGTGTGTGTGTGTGTGTGTGTGTGTGTGTGAGAGAGAGAGAGAGAGAGAGAGAGAGAGAGAGAGCGAATCAGATACCATTTACACACACATCATTCTATCTATATTTGCACACAGCAACAGGTGGCAGTGTGTTGTACAGAAGATATACTGACCATCAGAAAATACATGAAAATTAGGAAGGAAGGAAGGAAGGAAGGAAGGAAGGAATAGGAGAGAGAGAGAGAGAGAGAGAGAGAGAGAAGGGAGAGAGCGAGAGAGAGAGAGGAGGGAGGGAGAGGGAGAGGATGTAGGGATCTAGGATTGGATCTTCTCTTTCTCGCGTGGTAGTCGCTCTACCGCGTCTTTTATTTTTTTCTGGGTAACTAGTTGAGATACTAGCCAGAGAACGGATAAGAGAGGGGGTTGGTGGGTTGGTGTCTCTTATTTCTAGTGGTCCCACAGATCCCTCCTTACAGACTTACAGAACAACAGGTGAAGCGGACCATACAGGGCAGTCTAGTCCCCAACCCAGGGGTCCACACACGTCCAAACCAAAGACAAATACTCTCCATCTCTCTCTCTTTCTCCTTGTCTACTCCTCTCTGTCTCCTCATTTGCCTCCTTGGGTTCCAGGTCTGAGTTCCAACCATCCAAGGTCTTCAATGATGTTCATCAGTAACAGAGTCTGGATGGAGGAAGAGCAGCAACGCAGTTGGAATTAAAACGGTTTGAAGCTACTACTTGGACAAGCTGACAAGGTTTTATTCGTCCTCATCTATAAAGGTGAGGTTTTTTTGTTAAACATTTTTAAAATTCTGGTTTTAATTCATTTTGTAGGAATTTGTCAATATATTCTTATGTTTAATATCAACAAATGGATTTACATCAAATCATGTTTTATTTTCATGTTTTCCCCCAAATGATTGGCTTGGCAAATGCATCCAGTAAAAATTAGTTTGAATTTGAATTTGAATATATTGCAATTTATAGAGAATTGTTTGTTACAATGATGTAAAAATTTTGATTTTCAATGTGAACATTTATTTACTAAATTCTGTGTCGTTTTTTAAATTCATTTAAACTTTGAAAAAATGCAAACAATTACAAAAGGAAAACATAATAATATCAACATTGTTTCCAAATGTAAATGGTTATATTATTATTATTATTATTATTATTATATTATTGTGATGTTGGTGTCACTAGTAGTCATAATCTACTAAATTCATACATATATGAACATATATTTGAGATATTTTCCCTTTTATGAAAATATATAAAAGTAGTACAGCGTCCCTGGAGCAAATGAGGGTTTAGTGCCTTGCTCAAGAGCAGATTTTTCAGCTTGTCGGCTCAGGTATTCAAACCAGCGACCTTTCAGTTACTGGCCCAACTCCCTAACCGCTAGGCTAACTGCCACCCCTTAAGTACCTTGCTCAAGGGCACATCGGCAGATTTTTAACCTTGTCGGCTCTAACCGCTAGGCAACATTGAACAAAAATATTTGGCAACATCATTTTGGACCAGTTTCTGTTAATTGTATAAAGATATAAATCCATGCATCCATATATGGGGATTTTCAGTGAGCAGCAAGTGTTTAGAGCCTATACTGGCTGAGACTGCTCCTAACCAGAACAGGGTCGTGTTCAGTAGGTACACAACGTGGATGGATGGGGAGGGACTACCTGAACTGGGCCAATAAGAAACAAGTATTTTCATTTTCCGTTGCAACACGTTTAAAAACACTTTGCAACGTTGTGCTGAACAGGACCTAGGAGTCTGATCACCCCCCCTCTCTCCTATAAGGTGTAGGATTGAGACAGAGGCTGGTTTTTATATCTGTAATGTATCTAGGTTCCTTCAAAGCGTGTCTAAGGCTGTCTGTGTCTGTGGCTCAATCCCTCTGCAGCCATGGAGCAGCCCATGCTGAAAGCCAGATCGCCAGTGGGTCAGATGTGTTCGGTGGTGGCCCCCGCCTCGGCCAAGCAGCCTTCCTCCGCCAGCTCTCCCTCTACATCCAACACCATTGGCCCCAAGGAGGTGAGAGACAGAGGATGCGTCCCAAATGGTACCCTATTCCCTATATAGTGCCCATAGGGATCTGGGGCTCATAGAGCTCCGATCAAAAGTATATATGGATTCGGGCGCCATTTGGGATGAAGTCAGATAAATTGTCCTTTGTTCCTGTGTGGTTCAGCAATACCAAGATCATGGGTTTGATTCCTGCTGGGGCCAGTTGTTTTGGATAAAATTGTCAATATCAGTGTTTCCCAGTCCTGATCCTGGGGACCCGAAGGGGTGGACATTTTAGTTGTTGCCCTAGAACCAACAAATTTGATTTAACTGATGACCTCTTCATCAAGCCTTTAGTTGAATCAGGTATGTTACTTATATGTTACCCCTTTGGGTCCCCAGGACCAGGATTGGGAAACACTGGTCTAAATTACTTGAATTATTATATATTAAGTTAATTAACTTCCAGAATTGACTGGGTTCAATTCACAGTGACATAGCTACATTACATACAGTATATTCTGATATATTAGGTGGAGCTGATTCTGGTGAAGGAGCACAACGGGGTCCAGTTTACCACCTCCACCTTGGTCAGCCCTGCTGGTCACCCCCACGGCCATGGCCATGCTCTGGGCCCCAGCCACGGACACACCCCTGTCCCTGGAGAAGAGAGGGAGACCTGGGGGAAGAAGATCGACTTTCTCCTGTCGGTGATAGGGTTCGCTGTGGACCTGGCCAACGTGTGGAGGTTCCCCTATCTCTGCTATAAGAATGGAGGAGGTGAGAAGGAGGGAGGAAGGGTGTGGGGGAGGGAGGAAGGTGCCAGAGAGGGAGGGAGAAAAGGTGGGAAAGAGGGAGAGAGAAACAAAGAGAGAGAGAAAGAGAGAGAGACGAGAGAGACAAAGAGGGAGAGAGAGAGAGCGCGAGAGAGAGACAGAGAGAGAGAGAGACAAAGAGAGATAGATAGAGACAGAGACAGAGAGAGAGAGAGAGAGAGACAAAGAGAGAGCGAGAGAGAGAGAAAGAGAGAGACAAAGAGAGAGAGATAAAAAGGAAGGAAGAGAGTGAAATGAAGAGAGAGAATGATGAAGCCTTATCTATGTGTGTTTGAGCAGGCGGTAGGTATGGGGTGAGTGTGAGGCCTTACCCTTTAAAGATAAAAGAGATCTCCCCAGCTGATCAAACTGCTGATTATCTACAAAAATTAGGAACACCTATTATGGTTGTTTAACATAGAATGTTAATTGAGTTAAAGGGATGGTGAAATAACATTATAGCATTTTATTATTTACCAGGATGCCGGTCAATTCAATTTCAATTCAATTTCATCATGCATGCTTATGAATGTGCTATGTATTGTAATGAATGTTTAATGAAGCCCTTATGTAGGTTCCCTTCAAATAAGGTGTCACTGCCGGTATTGTCATGTAATGTCATGTACTCTCAGTCTCAACAAGATCAGATTTGGAAGGATGGCCGCGCAAGACTATGTCATGTAATCCTGTCCTATCTCTCTGCCTTCAAAAGGAGCGTTCCTGGTGCCTTACCTGTTCCTATGAACGCTCTAAGTATGGTTATGACTGTGTTATGAAGTCCTTATGTAGCCCTTATATCTCTGTGCCCTTATAGGAGCATTCCTGGTGCCCTACCAGTTCGTCATGCAGATAGCAGGCATGCTTATGAATTGCTTATGTATAGGTTATGACTGTGTTATAAAGCCATTATGTAGGTACTGTCCTGTCTCTCTCTGTCCTCTATATGAGTGTTCCTGGTGCCCTACCTGTTCTTCATGGTGATAGCGTTATGGATAGGCTATGAATGTGTTATGAAGGCATTATGTATGTACTATGTCATGTCATCCTGTCCTGTGTCTCTCTGTCCCCTCTAGGAGCGTTACTGGTGCCCTACCTGTTCTTCATGGTGATAGCGTTATGGATAGGCTATGAATGTGTTATGAAGGCATTATGTATGTACTATGTCATGTCATCCTGTCCTGTGTCTCTCTGTCCCCTCTAGGAGCGTTCCTGGTGCTCTACCTGTTCTTCATGGTGATAGCGTTATGGATAGGCTATGAATGTGTTATGAAGGCATTATGTATGTACTATGTCATGTCATCCTGTCCTGTGTCTCTCTGTCCCCTCTAGGAGCGTTCCTGGTGCCCTACCTGTTCTTCATGGTGATGGATAGGCTATGAATGTGTTATGAAGGCATTATGTATGGTTATGAATGTGCTATGTATGTGTTATGAATCTTAATGTAGCCTTATGTCTCTCCGTCCCCTCTAGGAGCGTTCCTGGTGCCCTACATGTTCTTCATGGTGATAGCAGGCATGCCTCTGTTCTACATGGAACTGGCTCTGGGTCAGTACAACAGAGAGGGGGCTGCAGGCGTCTGGAAGATCTGCCCCATATTCAAAGGTAGGAGAGAGAGAGTGTGTGTGTCTGTGTGTGCATGCGTGCGTGTGCATGTGTGTGTGTGTGTGTGTGTTAAGATAACTACCATTGTTTATCCCCAAACAATGCCACTCACATGGAAGACTGAAAATTGGCTTTTAGAGTCTCTCTGTCTTTGGTGATAAACACATTTTGGGCCAATCTTCCTGTACTTTCCAACACATCGATAAACACTCCGGTGAGCGGAAACCATAGAATTAACATGACAAGTGTCAAAAGAAGACTGTGACCTTCTCTGTCTTGTTCAAACCCCCCTCCCCCCCATCAAAACCACGGTGCTGTGCTGCAGACATTGCTCTGGACATTGATCTTCTGTTGTTGACCTGTCAGTATTTAATGTGTTTACTGGGTGTCTGGGGACAGCTGAGAGGTTTCATAGTCTCTCCACTTAAAGGTTTCAGTGTAATGTGAGGTAAAGTCCTTGTTTCAATGTTGTTTGTGTTTTTTATTGTGAAGCCAAGTTTGAAGGCAGCCTGTCTGTCTGACTGTCCGTTCACCCCCCTCTGTCTCTCCATCCGTCCATCCATCTATTCATCCACCCACCCACCCACCCACTCAGCCATCCAGCCAGCCACCCACCCACTCAGCCATCCACCCACCCACCCACCCACTCAGCCATCCAGCCAGCCACCCACCCACTCAGCCATCCAGCCAGCCACCCACCCACTCAGCCATCCAGCCAGCCACCCACCCACTCAGCCATCCAGCCAGCCACCCACCCACTCAGCCATCCAGCCAGCCACCCACCCACTCAGCCATCCACCCACCCACCCACCCACTCAGCCATCCAGCCACCCACCCACCCACTCAGCCATCCAGCCAGCCACCCACCCACTCAGCCATCCAGCCAGCCATCCATCCATCTGTCCATCCGTCCGTCCAGCCCCCTAGCTGAGACAGAGCGAATAGCTGCTGTCACTCACCAGGGAATCACTGTAATTACATCTGATCACCATATTTGTTTCCTAACGATCAATGATTTCAAAAGACTACAGGATCACACGTGGTGCTAATAATTCTGCCTCAACAAATATCACTTCTCCTAGATTAAAGAGCCATGGAAAAGAGCCAGGACATCATATGGCCATCAGAATGAAAGAGATAGACACTTGTTAGTCCTAAAGGTCAGGATGAAAGTGAACAGTAGAGCGTGGACACGGTGCTAAAGACACAGAAATGGCAGATCTGGGGATAAATAAAGCATAGAGAGGAGACTGCAGAGGCAACCTTTAGAAAGTTTGGCTGTTATTGTCTTTCATTTTAAGCGCTCTTTAAATTCTGTGTTATCAAGTGTTCTGTCTAGTTTACTTCTGAAAGTGTTTATGTAAACATGTAAGAATGTAGAGTGTTGAGGGTCAAAGAAGGTGATAGGAAGGCTAGGGAGTACATAGGAAGTTCACAGATGGTTTTATTTGAGGTATCTAGGAGCAGATTTGACCTTTGGCCTTTGTGATACTTCCAGTTAATATCAATTATTTATTGTGATATGTTGCCCTGTTTTGTGTTTTCTGTCTACCTCTGCTATAGTCTGAGCCGGTATTCTAAGCCATTGTGTAACCCTAAGAATGGACAATAAAGTTTTGAACTTTGATCTTGAACAATAACCTTTCACCTCTCACCTTTTCCCCAGGTGTTGGTTTCACAGTGATCCTGATCAGTCTGTATGTGGGCTTCTACTACAACGTGATTATAGCTTGGGCCCTGTTCTACCTGTTCTCTTCCTTCACCGGGGACCTGCCCTGGGTCCACTGCAACAACACCTGGAACAGCCCCAACTGCTCCGACCTCTGGGCCTTCAACAACTCCCTCAACGACACACACAAGTCCACCCCCGCAGCCGAGTACTTTGAGTGAGTCTGGAGTTTCGTCTCTAGATCCTAACCTCTACTCCCTGCCCCCTAGCCAAACCTGCCTCTGAGTATTATGAGTGAGTTCCTACTCCCTAGCCTCTACTCCCTGCCCACTAGCCACCCCTGCCTCTGAGTACTATGAGTGAGTTCCTACTCCCTAGCCCCTACTCCCTGCCCCCTAGCCACCCCTGCCTCTGAGTACTATGAGTGAGTTCCAACTCCCTAGTCCCTACTCCCTGCACCCTAGCCAAACCTGCCTCTGAGTACTATGAGTGAGTTCCTACTCCCTAGCCCCTACTCCCCCTAGCCACCCCTGCCACTGAGTACTATGAGTGAGTTCCTACTCCCTTTACCCTACTCCCCCTAGCCACCCCTGCCTCTGAGTACTATGAGTGAGTCTGAACAGAGACTGTTGACTTCTTTCTTAAAGTATTTTTGGTCTGACATGTCACGTATGGGCACTTTGAGAGGGACTGGCTTCATCTTTTTCTCTCTTTGGCATTAAATTATACATACAGTGGGGGAAAAAAGTATTTAGTCAGCCACCAATTGTGCAAGTTCTCCCACTTAAAAAGATGAGAGAGGCCTGTAATTTTCATCATAGGTACACAAAAACTATGACAGACAAAATTAGATTTTTTTTCTCCAGTAAATCATATTGTAGGATTTTTTATGAATTTATTTGCAAATTATGGTGGAAAATAAGTATTTGGTCAATAACAAAAGTTTCTCAATACTTTGTTATATACCTTTTGTTGGCAATGACACAGGTCAAACAGTTTTCACACACTGTTGCTGGTATTTTGGCCCATTCCTCCATGCAGATCTCCTCCAGAGCAGTGATGTTTTGGGGCTGTCGCTGGGCAACACGGACTTTCAACTCCCTCCAAAGATTTTCTATGGGGTTGAGATCTGGAGACTGGCTAGGCCACTCCAGGACCTTGAAATGCTTCTTACGAAGCCACTCCTTCGTTGCCCGGGCGGTGTGTTTGGGATCATTGTCATGCTGAAAGACCCAGCCACGTTTCATCTTCAATGCCCTTGCTGATGGAAGGAGGTTTTCACTAAAAATCTCACGATACATGGCCCCATTCATTCTTTCCTTTACACGGATCAGTCGTCCTGGTCCCTTTGCAGAAAAACAGCCCCAAAGCATGATGTTTCCACCCCCATGCTTCACAGTAGGTATGGTGTTCTTTGGATGCAACTCGGCATTCTTTGTCCTCCAAACACGACGAGTTGAGTTTTTACCAAAAAGTTATATTTTGGTTTCATCTGACCATATGACATTCTCCCAATCCTCTTCTGGATCATCCAAATGCACTTTAGCAAACTTCAGACGGGCCTGGACATGTACTGGCTTAAGCAGGGGACACGTCTGCCACTGCAGGATTTGAGTCCCTGGCGGCGTAGTGTGTTACTGATGGTAGGCTTTGTTACTTTGGTCCCAGCTCTCTGCAGGTCATTCACTAGGTCCCCCCGTGTGGTTCTGGGATTTTTGCTCACCGTGATCATTTTGACCCCACGGGGTGAGATCTTGCGTGGAGCCCCAGATCGAGGGAGATTATCAGTGGTCTTGTATGTCTTCCATTTCCTAATAATTGCTCCCACAGTTGATTTCTTCAAACCAAGCTGCTTACCTATTGCAGATTCAGTCTTCCCAGCCTGGTGCAGGTCTACAATTTTGTTTCTGGTGTCCTTTGACAGCTCTTTGGTCTTGGCCATAGTGAAGTTTGGAGTGTGACTGTTTGAGGTTGTGGACAGGTGTCTTTTATACTGATAACAAGTTCAAACAGGTGCCATTAATACAGGTAACGAGTGGAGGACAGAGGAGCCTCTTAAAGAAGAAGTTACAGGTCTGTGAGAGGCAGAAATCTTGCTTGTTTGTAGGTGACCAAATACTTATTTTCCACCATAATTTGCAAATAAATTCATAAAAAATCCTACAATGTGATTTTCTGGAAAAAAAAATCTCAATTTGTCTGTCATAGTTGACGTGTACCTATGATGAAAATTACAGGCCTCTCTCATCTTTTTAAGTGGGAGAACTTGCACAATTGGTGGCTGACTAAATACTTTTTTGCCCCACTGTACCTAATCAAAACTTTATTTGAAACCTGGACCCAGAAGACATTATGCCAGAGAGAGACAGAGGTTCACATCCTGGTCTATGTGTGTCCATTTCTTCATACTCCTTGTCGTCCATGGAGATACTGTATCCATACCTTCATACTCCTTGTCGTCCATGGAGATAATGTATCCATGTCTTCATACTCCTGGTCGTCCATGGAGATACTGAATCCAGTGTTCTTGATAGATTAACAGGTGTCTCATATGTTTTAGCAAAGGCGGTTTGTTTTGACAATTCAGGCCTGTCATGGACAGACAGGCAGTCACTATCTTTATCTCCACCTGGGAGCAATTTAAATCTAGTCTCAGTCAGGGCCATTCAGTTGATAGAAAGTTTTCTTCTTCTTCTTCTTCTTCTTCTTCTTCTTCTTCTTCTTCTTCTTCTTCTTCTTCTTCTTCTTTCTTTCTTTTCTTCTTCTTCTTCTTTCTTTCTCTTCTTCTTCTCTTTCTTCTTCTTCTTCTTCTTCTTCTTCTTCTTCTTCTTCTTCTTCTTCTTCTTCTTTCGTCATTTTTAGTTGATATTTACTGCAGTGTTTCTCCACTTAGTGTGCTGTGTTGTTAGTTATAGGTTGTTAATTAGTTGTTGTGGTTAGTCATTGGTAACAGTGTTGTTGTGTTAGTTATAGGTTGTTAATTAGCTGTTGTGGTTAGTCATTGGTAACAGTGGTGTTGTGTTGTTAGTTATAGGTTGTTAGTTGTTGTGGTTAGTCATTGATAACAGTGTTGCTATGTTGTTAGTTATAGGTTGTTAATCAGTTGTTGTGGTTAGTCATTGGTAGTGTGCTGTGTTGTTAGTTATACGTTGTTAGTTGTTGTGGTTAGTCATTGGTAACAGTGTTGTTGTGTTAGTTATAGGTTGTTAATTAGTTGATGTGGTTAGTTATTGGTAACAGTGTTGTTGTGTTGTTAGTTATAGGTGGTTAATTAGTTGTGGCTAGTCATTGGTAACACTGTTGTGTGTGTTGTTAGTTATAGGTTGTTAATTAGTTGTTGTGGTTAGTCATTGGTAACAGTGTTGTTATGTTGTTAGTTATAGGTTGTTAATTAGTTGTTGTGGTTAGTCATTGGTAACAGTGTTGCTGTGTTGTTAGTTATAGGTTGTTAGTTAGTTGTTGTGGTTAGTCATTGGTAACAGTGTTGCTGTGTTGTTAGTTATAGGTTGCTAGTTAGTTGTTGTGGTTAGTCATTGGTAACAGTGTTGCTGTGTTGTTAGTTATAGGTTGTTAGTTAGTTGTTAAGGTTAATCATTGGTAACAGTGTTGCTGTGTTGTTAGTTATAGGTTGTTATTTAGTTGTTGTGGTTAGTCATTGGTAACAGTGTTGCTGTGTTGTTAGTTATACGTTGTTAGTTAGTTGTTGTGGTTAGTCATTGGTAGTGTGTTGTGTTGTTAGTTATAGGTTGTTAGTTAGTTGCTGTGGTTAGTCATTGGTAGTGTGTTGTGTTGTTAGTTATAGGTTGTTAATTAGTTGTTGTGGTTAGTCATTAGTAACAGTGTTGTTATGTTGTTAGTTATAGGTTGTTAATTAGTTGTTGTGGTTAGTCATTGGTAACAGTGTTGTTGTGTTTTTAGTTATAGGTTGTTAATTAGTTGTTGTGGTTAGTCATTGGTAACAGTGTTGTTATGTTAGTTGTATGTTGTTAAATAGTTGTTGTGGTTAGTCATTGGTAACAGTGTTGCTGTGTTGTTAGTTATAGGTTGTTATTTAGTTGTTGTGGTTAGTCATTGGTAACAGTGTTGCTGTGTTGTTAGTTATAGGTTGCTAGTTAGTTGTTGTGGTTAGTCATTGGTAACAGTGTTGTTGTGTTGTTAGTTATAGGTTGCTAGTTAGTTGTTGTGGTTAGTCATTGGTAACAGTGTTGTTGTGTTGTTAGTTATATGTTGTTAATTAGTTGTTGTGGTTAGTCATTGGTAACAGTGTTGTTATGTTGTTTGTTATATGTTGTTAATTAGTTGTTGTGGTTAGTCATTGGTAACAGTGTTGCTGTGTTGTTAGTTATAGGTTGTTAGTTAGTTGTTGTGGTTAGTCATTGGTAACAGTGTTGCTGTGTTGTTAGTTATAGGTTGCTAGTTAGTTGTTGTGGTTAGTCATTGGTAACAGTGTTGTTGTGTTGTTAGTTATAGGTTGTTAATTAGTTGTTGTGGTTAGTCATTGGTAACAGTGTTGTTGTGTTGTTAGTTATAGGTTGTTAATTAGTTGTTGTGGTTAGTCATTGGTAACAGTGTTGTTGTGTTGTTAGTTATAGGTTGTTAATTAGTTGTTGTGGTTAGTCATTGGTAACAGTGTTGCTGTGTTGTTAGTTATAGGTTGCTAGTTAGTTGTTGTGTTTAGTCATTGGTAACAGTGTTATTGTGTTGTTAGTTATAGGTTGTTAATTAGTTGTTGTGGTTAGTCATTGGTAACAGTGTTGTTGTGTTGTTAGTTATAGGTTGTTAATTAGTTGTTGTGGGTTAGTCATTGGTAACAGTGTTGCTGTGTTGTTAGTTATAGGTTGCTAGTTAGTTGTTGTGGTTAGTCATTGGTAACAGTGTTATTGTGTTGTTAGTTATAGGTTGTTAATTAGTTGTTGTGGTTAGTCATTGGTAACAGTGTTGCTGTGTTGTTAGTTATATGTTGTTAATTAGTTGTTGTGGTTAGTCATTGGTAACAGTGTCGCTGTGTTGTTAGTTATAGGTTGTTAGTTAGTTGTTGTGGTTAGTCATTGGTAACAGTGTTGTTGTGTTGTTAGTCATAGGTTGTTAGTTAGTTGTTAAGGTTAATCATTGGTAACAGTGTTATTGTGTTGTTAGTTAGTCAATTAGTTGTTGGTTAGTTGGTAACAGTGTTGCTGTGTTTGTTAGTTTTAGGTTTGTTAATTAGTTGTTGTAGTTAGTCATTGGTACAGTGTTGCTGTGTTGTTAGTTCTAGGTTACTAGTTAGTTGTTGTGGTTAGTTTATTGGTAACAGTGTTGTTGTGTTGTTAGTTTATAGGTTGTTAATTAGTTGTTGTGGTTAGTCCATGGTACCAGTGTTGTTGTGTTGTTAGTTATAGGTTTGTTAGTTAGTTGTTGTGGGTTAGTCCATTGGTAACAGTGTTTGTTATGTTGTTAGTCATAGGTTGTTAGTTAGTTGTTGTGGTTAGTCATTGGTAACAGTGTTGTTGTGTTGTTAGTCATAGGTTGTTAGTTAGTTGTTAAGGTTAATCATTGGTAACAGTGTTATTGTGTTGTTAGTTATAGGTTGTTAATTAGTTGTGTGGTTAGTCATTGGTAACAGTGTTGCTGTGTTGTTAGTTTTAGGTTGTTAATTAGTTGTTGTAGTTAGTCATTGGTAACAGTGTTGCTGTGTTGTTAGTTATAGGTTGATCATTAGTTGTTGTGGTTAGTCATAGGTAACAGTGTTGATGTGTTGTTAGTTATAGGTTGTTAATTAGTTGTTGTGGTTAGCTATTGGTAACAGTGTTGTTGTGTTGGTCCAGGAGTGGGGTGCTCCACCTGCAGGACAGTGAGGGTATATCTGACCTGGGTCTGTTAGTTAGCTAGATGTTTGTTGGTTAGTTGTTACAACCTGTTATAACTGTTATGTTCCAGGCGTGGGGTGCTCCACCTGCAGGACAGTGAGGGTATAGCTGACCTGGGTCTGCCTCGTTGGCAGCTGACGTCCTGTCTAGCTGTGGTCATCGTGGTTCTCTACTTCAGCCTCTGGAAGGGGGTCAAGACCTCAGGGAAGGTAGGTGGTCCTCTGAATCTGTAGTGGCTCCATATCAACATCTTTTAAGGGTACATAAATCTACCTCTGTGCTAAATGTAGTACTTTTATCTAAAAATAGTGTGTTTTTAGATTGTGTTACCGTTGACTGACATTTTGTAAGATGGCTGCCACGGTCCCCAGCGTCCAAATCGCTGATGGCTCCATATGTAACTGTTTCAGGGTACATAAATGTACTTATGTTTTTAAAAAATGTAGTGATCTATTTTTTACTTAAGACTTATTTTTCTTAAAACTGCATTGTTGGTTAAGGGCTTGTAAGTACACTTTTCACTGTAAGGTCTACACCTGTTGTATTCGGCGCATTTGACAAATACAATTTGATTTGATTTGATTTTATCATAAAATGTGCAATTGTTACGGATATTAAAGCTTAGTCACCCCACTATAGAGGAGGATGTCCAGGTGAAGTCAGCTCAGATCTGGCCTGGCCCTGTGAGCAGAACAGAACACCAGATCAGGGCCACTGAGTCCATGGCTGCATCCCAAATGGCACCCTATTCCCTGTGTGGTGCACTACTTTTGACTTTTGCCTTAAGCTCTATGAGCAGGGTATTAAGTCCCTGCCTTTAGCTCTATGAGCAGGATATTAAGTCCTGGCCTTTAGCTCTATGAGCAGGGTATTAAGTCCTGTCCTTAAGCTCTATGAGCAGGGTATTAAGTCCTGGCCTTTAGCTCTATGAGCAGGGTATTAAGTCCTTGCCTTAAGCTCTATGAGCAGGGTATTAAGTCATGGCCTTTAGCTCTATGAGCAGGGTATTAAGTCCTGGCCTTTAGCTCTATGAGCAGGGTATTAAGTCCTGGCCTTTAGCTCTATGAGCAGGGTATTAAGTCCTGGCCTTAAGCTCTATGAGCAGGGTATTAAGTCATTTAGCTCTATGAGCAGGGTATTAAGTCCTGGCCTTTAGCTCTATGAGCAGGGTATTACGTCCTGGCCTTTAGCTCTATGAGCAGGCTATTAGGTCTTGGCCTTTAGCTCTATGAGCAGGGTATTACGTCCTGGCCTTTAGCTCTATGAGCAGGGTATTAAGTCCTGGCCTTTAGCTCTATGAGCAGGGTATTAAGTCCTGGCCTTAAGCTCTATGAGCAGGGTATTAAGTCATGGCCTTTAGCTCTATGAGCAGGGTATTAAGTCCTGGCCTTTAGCTCTATGAGCAGGGTATTAAGTCCTGGCCTTTAGCTCTATGAGCAGGGTATTAAGTCCTGGCCTTAAGCTCTATGAGCAGGGTATTAAGTCATTTAGCTCTATGAGCAGGGTATTAAGTCCTGGCCTTTAGCTCTATGAGCAGGGTATTACGTCCTGGCCTTTAGCTCTATGAGCAGGCTATTAGGTCCTGGCCTTTAGCTCTATGAGCAGGGTATTACGTCCTGGCCTTTAGCTCTATGAGCAGGGTATTAAGTCCTGGCCTTTAGCTCTATGAGCAGGGTATTAAGTCCTGGCCTTTAGCTCTATGAGCAGATTGTTGAGTCCATGTGTATAGAACAGAACAGAGTGGGCCAGGTTGTTGAGTCCATGTGTATAGAACAGAACAGAACAGAACAGAGTGGGCCAGGTTGCTGCATCCATGTCTATAGAACAGAACAGAGTGGGCCTGGTTGCTGAGTCCATGTGTCCCTGTGCAGGTTGTGTGGATCACAGCCACCATGCCCTACGTGGTCCTGACTGTCCTGCTGCTGCGTGGTGTCACCCTCCCTGGAGCCATGGATGGCATTAAGGCCTACCTCAGCGTTGACTTCCGACGACTCTGTGAGCCTCAGGTGAGAGAGAGAGAGAGAGAGAGAGAGAGAGAGAGAGAGAGAGAGAGAGAGAGAGAGAGAGAGAGAGAGAGAGAGAGAGAGAGAGAGAGAGAGAGATTAGAGAGAGAGAGAGAGAGAGAGGAGAGAGAGAGAGAGAGAGAGAGAGCATCTCTAGAGCGAGAGAGAAAGATCTCGGCGAGAGAGGACATCGAGATCAGATAGGCGCCTAGAGGCTACGCGATCAGCCTATTAGATCGCTAAGAGGAATTCCAGGTGATAAAAGTCTGTTTCCTTACAGAGTTTCACAGACACACTAGTATTACAGCGCTGGTCCAGTCCTTGGCTCTCATGAGGTTGGAGACACTCTCCACCAGCTGAGGCACCTTTCTGTTTTGTGTGTGTGAGAGAGAGAGTTGCTGATGTTTATTTCTGTATTTTAATGCCACAGGTATTATTTTAGTGCATGAAAATAAAGGTTAGAAAAAATATTTAATATTTCAGTATCCTTGAAATCCCAACTGATGAAATGTATATCTGAATAATTTGCCTTAATAAGGGCGCTGTAAGAATCTCCAGCTGTTTCCCTTCCAGTAGCAGCTCACCACAAGGACTCAAAGCAGCAATTTGAGAATTAGATTAGACACATGCATGCAGCAACAATTTGCTAAATTACCCCGTATTCACAAGTGTCTTTCATCTTTCTGTTGAATGAGTTTCCTGCAATTATCTCTAATAACAGCTTTTTCTCTGTCTTTTGTCCTCTGTCCCCCGGCTGTTTGTTGTGTAGGTCTGGATAGATGCTGCCACTCAGATCTGCTTCTCTTTGGGAGTGGGGTTTGGTGTGCTAATAGCCTTCTCCAGCTATAACAAATTCAGCAACAACTGCTATAGGTAAGCTAGAAGCCGAGAACAACCGGAGTGCGTCCCAAAAGGCACCTTATTCACTATATAGTGCACTACTACGACTAGGAACCATAGGGCTCTGGTTGAAAGTAGTGCACTATATAGGGAATAGGGTGCCATTTTGTATGCAGCCTCGGTGTTGATAGTCTCTAATAGAGAGGCTGATAGAGCGTACAAGCTGCTGCTGAGCTGGTGAATTACAATACCTTTGAAGCCCCTTACCTACCGCCCATGTCTTTCACACCAGTCTGTTCCATAGAGGATAGTAATACCTACCGCCCATGTCTTTCACACCAGTCTGTGTTCTGGTGTATGACACTAATATTGACATGAATCAGCAGACATTGGATCTTTGATCTTAAACAGATGCTCCCTGTCTGTTCTGGATCTACCAGATATAAGAATATGTTCTTGTCATCTGCTCTCTCTCTTCCAGAGATGCCATCATCACCAGCTCCATCAACTCTCTGACAAGCTTCTTCTCTGGCTTCGTCATCTTCTCCTTCCTGGGGTACATGTCCCATAAACACAGTGTACCACTCGACAAGGTGGCCACAGACGGTCAGTATTCTTAATACTCTGGACAATGTGGCCACAGACGTTCAGTATTCTTAATGCTCTGGACAAGGTAGCCACATACGGTCAGTATTCTTAATACTCTGGACAATGTGGCCACAGACGTTCAGTATTCTTAATGCTCTGGACAAGGTGACCACAGATGTTCAGTATTCTTAATGCTCTGGACATGGTGACCACAGACGGTCAGTATTCTTAATGCTCTGGACATGGTGGCCACAGACGGTCAGTATTCTTAATGCTCTGGACAAGGTGACCACAGATGTTCAGTATTCTTAATGCTCTGGACAAAGTGACCACATATGTTCAGTATTATTAATGCTCTCGACAAGGTGACCACAGACGGTCAGTATTCTTAATGCTCTGGACAAGGTGACCACAGACTGTCAGTATTCTTAATGCTCTGGACAAGGTGGCCACAGATGTTCAGTATTCTTAATGCTCTGGACAAGGTGGCCACAGATGTTCAGTATTCTTAATGCTCTGGACAAGGTGGCCACAGATGTTTAGTATTCTTAATGCACTGGACAAGGTGGCCACAGATGGTCAGTATTCTTAATGCTCTGGACAAGGTGACCACAGACGTTCAGTATTCTTAATGCTCTGGACAAGGTGACCACAGACGGTCAGTATTCTTAATGCTCTGGACAAGGTGGCCACAGATGTTCAGTATTCTTAATGCTCTGGACAAGGTGGCCACAGATGTTCAGTATTCTTAATGCTCTGGACAAGGTGGCCACAGATGTTCAGTATTCTTAATGCTCTGGACAAGGTGGCCACAGATGTTCAGTATTCTTAATGCTCTGGACAAGGTGGCCACAGATGTTCAGTATTCTTAATGCTCTGGACAAGGTGGCCACAGATGTTCAGTATTCTTAATGCTCTGGACAAGGTGGCCACAGATGTTCAGTATTCTTAATGCTCTGGACAAGGTGGCCACAGATGGTCAGTATTCTTAATGCTCTGGACAAGGTGGCCACAGATGTTCAGTATTCTTAATGCTCTGGACAAGGTGACCACAGATGTTCAGTATTCTTAATGCTCTGGACAAGTTGACCACAGATGGTCAGTATTCTTAATGCTCTGGATACTTTTCTCAGATAATGATGGAGACCTGAAATGATTGTTTTGTTCTTTATAAAAATAGCTAGATTTTTTAGCTATTCATTATTTGGGTGTGGGATCTATAAATTGCTGTCATGTCCACTTGTCTTTCTGACATGCAATATTAATTGCTGTATATCTACTGCAAAATACCCATGTTTAGCTGCACTGGACTTGGTGTCAGGGCTGATTGGAAATCTATATGTATTTATCAGCACAAATTCATAATGTGGTCTATATTGTCACCATTGTTGATTGCTGATTAAACAAATGTTTGATTTGCTGCCTTCATCAGACAAGTCTCCCACACAAAAGAGATCTCAGTGTAATCTACCTGTTTGATTAACACTAGATAACTAAATCATTAATCTGTGTTGTTGTGTCCCATCCAGGTCCTGGTCTGGTGTTCATCATCTACCCAGAGGCCATAGCTACATTACCAGGCTCCTCAGTCTGGGCAGTTATCTTCTTCATCATGTTGCTGACCCTGGGCATCGACAGTGCTGTAAGTACACCCCTCACCATTATAGAATAACCTAGGAACTGATGAACTACCAGTTTCTGAGGTGCAAGCGTGCTATAGGCTAGCAGTGACAAACCCTACTCCTGGGGAGCTAATAGGTGTGCAGGCTTTTGGCCCGACCCAGCAGGATTAGGATTGGCTGCACCTGCTATAGGTAAAGTGCAGGGACCAAGTTCAGCTAAATGATGGTGTTCTATGTTCTGTGTTCTGTGTTTGGTCTCTAGATGGGAGGGATGGAGTCAGTGATCACAGGATTGATGGATGAGTTCAAGTTTCTCCACAAACACCGGGAACTCTTCACCCTCTTCATCGTTGTGTCCACCTTCCTCATCTCACTGTTCTGTGTCACTAACGTAAGTGGACGAAGAAGATGTGGAAAATATATGTAAAGTTATTTTTCAAGCATCTAAGGAACTTGCATGAATGACACATCAAAGTACAGGGCTAATATAATGGACATCAAATGGAACCTCTCCTCTCCTCTCCTCTCCTCTCCTCTCCTCTCCTCTCCTCTCCTCTCCTCTCCTCTCCTCTCCTCTCCTCTCCTCTCCTCTCCTCTCCTCTCCTCTCCTCTCCTCTCCTCTCCTCTCCTCTCCTCTCCTCTCCTCTCCAGGGTGGTATCTATGTGTTCACTCTGCTGGACCATTTTGCTGCTGGGACATCGATTCTCTTTGGAGTGCTTATTGAGGCCATCGGAATCGCCTGGTTCTACGGTAAGGAGGGGGGAGGAGGGGAGAGGAGGATGGGAGGAGCAGGGGAAGGGGAGAGGAGAGGGAGGAGGGAGGAGGAGCGGGAGGAGGGGGACTCCTTCCTGATTCTATAGAAGAAGAGGGGTAAGGAGGAGGTGGGATGGGGGGGGGGGACTCCTATCTGATTCTACAGAAGAAGAGGGGTAAGGAGGAGGTGGGATGGGGGTGGTGACTCCTTTCTGATTCTACAGAAGAAGAGGGGTAAGGAGGAGGTGGGATGGGGGGGGGGGACTCCTTTCTGATTCTACAGAAGAAGAGGGGTAAGGAGGAGGTGAGATGGGGGGGGACTCCTATCTGGTTCTACAGAAGAAGAGGGGTAAGGAGGAGGTGGGATGGGGGGGTGACTCCTTTCTGGTTCTACAGAATAAGAGGGGTAAGGAGGAGGTGGGATGGGTGGGGGGGGACTCCTATCTGGTTCTACAGAAGAAGAGGGGTAAGGAGGAGGTGGGATGGGGGGGGGGGACTCCTATCTGGTTCTACAGAAGAAGAGGAGGGAGGAGTAAGGAGGGAGGAGGAGGAGGTGAGGAGGGGGGACTCTTAGCTCTTCATGGCCAGCCAAGCTGATGCCACATTAGGCCAGTGATTGGGTCTGATGGGATATCAGGCTGGATATTCCTCTGCTGTGCCGCCATGCAACACTATCTCATTAGCTTTCAGAGGACAGGAAGGTAAAAAGCCTGTTTCTGGTGTGTTTCTGCCACTCAGAGTGTGTGGTCCATATTACTATTTAGTGTTTAGGTGTTTGGAGTGGACAGAGACATAGACAGATCAGATCCAAATAATAGTATATTGATATTGAATATCTGAGGTCAATGATAAAACACACATCCCAGCCTGTGGTGTAAAGATTGACGTTTTGGTCTATTGTGGTTCTGATGATACTTGGATGGCAGCAAAGGGATAGTTCACCAAAATTACAAAATTACATCCTGGTTTCCTAACCCTGTAAGCAGTCTATGGATAAGGTATGACAGCAATCCATACTTTGGTTTTATTTCCCTGGCACTGTTTCCAAATGCTAACATTTTAGCATTTGTGTCCCAAATCCCATTCAAGTTATGGTATCGATATTAGCATTTTTCGAGCATCATTTTCAAATCATCCGAAAGTATCTCAAATTGATTGTGGAGCCCAACAAAGTCACTTATAAGATAGGTTTCCATCCAATTGACGACAGATTTTCATGAGAATATAAAAAAATCGCATAAATCCGCATAAAAACAATATGCTAATTTCCCCACCAGAGATGTGTTTACATCAAATTGACTTGTTGCTGATTGAAGGCTGTGCGTGATGATATAATGCAAATTAAAATAACTTTTGCTGTTAAATTCCCATGTACTTAAAAAATAAAAGTATGCTAAATGAATTTCCATCACATTTTCAACTCTGCTGATGGTTTTGTCACAACAAATGTTGCGTTATATGTGCCCACTCTGGTCTTGGCACGTGTGCTCTAGCCAACAGCTCGCAGATACAGTGCGGGTAGGCTACCTTCTGAGATAATTATGGATAAGAGCAAGATTTTTATTTGTCAAACGGTAGCCAAGCTTGTCACCAGAATAAGACCCTCAATGTTTATTGGAAAGGAGCATCAAGCTTAAGTCTTTTCTTTACAATTCTTGAGCGCTACACTACAGTATGAGCAACTTGCTTTGCTCAGATAACATTGAAGTTATCTGAAACCTCATAATACAGTAATGTCTCCAAAGTGAGTTCAGGTTAGAAAATAACGTCTCCAAAGTGAGTTCAGGTTAGAAAATAACGTCTCCAAAGCTCACTTCTGGTTCAGAGTTCTAGTCTGATCTACTGTACTGCTGGTCAGATCAATATTGGGGTCCAGACAGTGTTGTGTGTGTGTGTGTTCATTCATGCGTGTGTTTGTGTATGTCTAACCAGCCTTGTGGCTCTGGGGTCAGTGTGGTCAGCTTGCTGCCCTGTCATGTTGGCCTCAGCCTGGGAGGACAGACTACTTTAGCCCCAGGCTTCTCCGGGCCTTTTCCCTGGCTCCATCTCTACTGACAGGTGGCTGTGGCCCCTGTGCCCTCCACAGGAACACCAGCCTGCCCTCCACAGGAACACCAGCCTGCTCTCCATAGGCGCCAGTCACATTGGGATTCTGCCTGGGCTTTGAGTAGTACCTCCCAGGCAGGGAACAAAGAGAGACGGTGGAGCGAGGAGAAGCATCAATGAGGAAAGGGATTTGATGCTGGTGGTATTAAACACGCTACCAGAATGTTATATCCTTGTATTTCAAATGTACTGTAGTTTCCTCAAAATGAGGAGACCTATGAGAGAATGCAAAGTAACGCAACATTGTTGCCGACTATGTTTCATCCTCAAGGGTTCCTATCTGCTGTGGTGTAAACTTTCCCTTTCCCTCCGTTTGATCTGTGAATGACAACTCAATGGTTTTGATCAGGGTTGGGGTCCATTCGAATTGAAGGTAGTCAATTCAGGAAGTGATTTGAATTTGAACTTCAAAAATGGAAACACTTTTAAAATAAATAGCTTTTACTTTTAAGTCTATTGAGAAGTCATTGAAAATACTAGTACTCCTGAGTAGCGCAGTGGTCTAAGGCACTGCATCGCAGTGCTAACTGTGCCACTAGAGATCCTGGTTCGAATCCAGGCTCTGTCGCAGCCGGCCGCGACTGGGAGACTCATGGGCGGCGCACAATTGGTCCAGGGTAGGGGAGGGAATGGCCGGCAGGGATGTAGCTCAGTTGATAGAGCATGGCGTTTGCAACGCCAGGGTTGTGGGTTCGATTCCCACGGGGGGCCAGTATAAAAAATATATATATATATATTCACTAACTGTAAGTCGCTCTGGATAAGAGCGTCTGCTAAATGACTAAAATGTAAATGTAAAATAGATATCCTTAAAAAAGTTTTTAGTAAAAAATCTGAATTGACTGCTTTCAATTCGAATTGACCCCAACCCTGGTTTTGATGACGAACCGTCAAGGGTTTTTAACTGCTATGGTTTAAACTATTCCCATCAGGAGTGGATCGGTTCAGTGATGACATTGAGGAGATGATTGGACAGAGGCCAAGCCTGTACTGGAGACTGTGCTGGAAGTTTGTCAGCCCATGCTTCCTCCTGGTGAGTTCATAAAGAGACAAACACTAGCAGACCTGGGTCAAACATGTCAAATACTTTTAGTTTACCTGGTGCAATGGAACCAGTTAAATAGTCCCGAAAGTGCAAACTCCAAGCTAATTCAAGCACACCTCATGCACACCAAGGTCTAAGCACTAACTACATTGTTTTATGGAACGGGGTTGCTAGTTTCAGTAGAGGCTGGTCCATAACTGTCCTTGTGGTTTGAAACAGAATGTGTCCCAACCCCAACCCTCTGTTTCTCCAGTTCATGGTGGTGGTGAGCTTCGTGACCTTTAACCCTCCTAACTACGGGACATACACGTTTCCCATATGGGCCAACATGATTGGCTGGTGCCTGGCTATATCCTCCATGACCATGGTGCCTCTCTATGCCATCTACAAGATGTGCACCTTACCTGGAAAGTTCTGTGATGTAAGTCTGATTTACAGTGAGGGAAAAAAGTATTTGATCACCTGCTGATTTTGTACATTTTCCCACTGACAAAGACATGATCAGTCTATAATTTTAATGGTAGGTTTATTTGAACAGTGAGAGACAGAATAACAACAAAGAAATCCAGAAAAACGCATGTCAAAAATGTTATAAATTGATTTGCATTTTAATGAAGGAAATAAGTATTTGACCCCTCTGCAAAACATGACTTAGTACTTGGTGGCAAAACCCTTGTTGGCAATCACAGAGGTCAGACGTTTGTTGTAGTTGGCCACCAGGTTTGCACACATCTCAGGAGGGATTTTCTTCCACTCCTCTTTGTAGATCTTCTCCAAGTCATTAAGGTTTTGAGGCTGACGTTTGGCAACTCGAACCTTCAGCTCCCTCCACAGATTTTCTATGGGATTAAGGTCTGGAGACTGGCTAGGCCACTCCAGGATCTTAATGTGCTTCTTCTTGAGCCACTCCTTTGTTGCCTTGGCCGTGTGTTTTGGGTCATTGTCATGCTGGAATACCCATCCACGACCCATTTTGAATGCCCTGGCTGAGGGAAGGAGGTTCTCACCCAAGATTTGACGGTACATGGCCCCGTCCATCGTCCCTTTGATGCTGTGAAGTTGTCCTGTCCCCTTAGCAGAAAAACACCCCCAAAGCATAATGTTTCCACCTCCATGTTTGACGGTGGGGATGGTGTTCTTGGGGTCATAGGCAGCATTCCTCCTCCTCCAAACACGCCGAGTTGAGTTGATGCCAAAGAGCTCGATTTTGGTCTCATCTGACCACAACACTTTCACCCAGTTCTCCTCTGAATCATTCAGACGTTCATTGGCAAACTTCAGACGACCCTGTATATGTGCTTTCTTGAGCAGGGGGACCTTGCGGGCGCTGCGCAGGATTTCAGTCCTTCACTGCGTAATGTGTTACCAATTGTTTTCTTGGTGACTATGGTCCCAGCTGCCTTGAGATCATTGACAAGATCCTCCCGTGTAGTTCTGGGCTGATTCCTCACCATTCTCATGATCATTGCAACTCGACGAGGTGAGATCTTGCATGGAGCCCCAGGCCGAGGGAGATTGACAGTTATTTTGTCTTTCTTCCATTTGTGAATAATCGCACCAACTGTTGTCACCTTCTCACCAAGCTGCTTGGCGATGGTCTTGTAGCCCATTCTAGCCTTGTGTAGGTCTACAATCTTGTCCCTGACATCCTTGGAGAGCTCTTTGGTCTTGGCCATAGTGGAGAGTTTGGAATCTGATTGATTGATTGCTTCTGTGGACAGGTGTCTTTTATACAGGTAACAAGCTGAGATTAGGAGCACTCCCTTTAAGAGTGTGCTCCTAATCTCAGCTCGTTACCTGTATAAAAGACACCTGGGAGACAGAAATCTTTCTGATTGAGAGGGGGTCAAATAGTTATTTCCCTCATTAAAATGCAAATCAATTTATAACATTTCTGACATGCGTTTTTCTGGATTTTTTTGTTGTTATTCTGTCTCTCACTGTTCAAATAACCCTACCATTAAAATTATAGACTGATCATTTCTTTGTCAGTGGGCAAACGTACAAAATCAGCAGGTGATCAAAAACTTTTTTCCCTTACTGTATGTAAGTCTGGTTTATACAAGTCTGATTCATATAAGTCTGGTTTATATAAGTCTGAATTTTAACAGAGCCATCTACAAGATGTGCACCTTACCTGGGAAGTCTAGTTTATATTGATATATGATACTATGGTGATTTAGCAGACACCTTTAACCAAAGTGATGCACACTTTTATCCACATCAATGCACAGAAATGTCAACACTGACAATGACACATATATATTCGGTACATGAGCAATATGGTTTATGAGCTACAACATCACCAGCAAATATGAATATCCAGCTTGGTAATTCACAATGATTCGTATAATGAAGATACGTTAGTTTCTTTGGTAACTGATTCCCGTCCTGTCTTCCTGTAGAGACTGGCCTACGCCATAACACCTGAGCATGAACACCACTTGGTGGATAATGGAGAAGTTAGGAGGTTTACGGTAAGCTGCTCTTCACTATTTACTTGACGTTACTTAACCTCCCCTACTTACCATACCTTACTTTACCCTACCTTACTTTACCTTACCATACCTTACTTTACCATACCTTACCCTACATTACTTTACCTTACCTTACCTCGCCTACCTTACTTTACCTTGCCTTACCTTACCTTACCTTACCTTGCCTTACATTGCCTTACTTTACCTTACCTTACCTTACATTACTTTACCTTACCTTACCTTGCCTTACCTTACTTTACCATACCTTACCTTGCCTTGCCTTTCCTTACCTTACTTTACCTTACCATACATTACCTTACCTTACCTTGCCTTACCTTACCTTACCCCACCTTACTTCACCTTACCTTGCCTTACCTTACCTTGCCTTACCTTACTTTACCTTACTTACCTTACCTTACCTTACCTTACCTTACCTTACCTTACCTTACCTTACCTTACCTTACCTTACCTTACCTTACCTTACCTTACCTTACCTTACTGTATTTATTGTCTTTCCCATTGGTTTCCACCTTACCTTACTGTATTTATTGTCTTTCCAATTGGTTTCCACCTTACCTTACTGTATTTATTGTCTTTCCCATTGGTTTCTACCTTACCTTACTGTATTTGTTGTCCTTTCCCATTGGTTTCCACCTTACCTTACTGTATTTATTGTCTTTCCCATTGGTTTCCACCTTACCTTACTGTATTTATTGTCTTTCCCATTGGTTTCCACAGCTCCAACACTGGATGGTGATCTGAGCCCAGGAGGAAGGCAGAGAGGTCCGTTCACATGGAGGAGGGAGGGATGGATGGATGGAAGGAGTCACAGCAGACATGTGAAGAGAGTATATACACTGTAACAAGAGGAGAGATAAGTGTTTTAAATGGCAACAAAGCTGTAAAATCGTAGTGGTCTTTAATTTCCTCAATGGACGTGTGGTTGTGTGCTGTAATCTAGATCAGGATGTTGTTGACGTTCGGTCAATACAGAAATAAATATCAATCTTAAACTCTATTTACAATGACTGTTATGATGATGGATAATGTTGTACACCAATATCTTCATGTTTATTTTGTGAGCTGAGAAAAATCAGAGCATTTGCTTAGTGTAAAATGCTGATGATATATTAAATTATTATCTGTTGTAGAGAAAACTAAGATAAATAGTATTTCAGAACCAATATGTCATAGCCAATAACAACATTACATTCCTGCATTTTATTGTATCTGTACATGTTTTAAATTAAGTTTGTTATAACACATAACAGCTACATAGTAAGCTAGCTTTTTATATTTTGCCAACAGTTTCCTTTGACACTTGAAAAATGTGTTGTCTGTTACTTCTCCTATGGAAATGGTTTCAAATGTACCGGGGGTCCGAAATGATTGACACCCTTGATAAAGATGAGAAGATTAAAGATTAAATACATAATTTAAATACTGAACTATATTGTATGCTATTTTTTTTTATTAGATTATTGTATACTAATAGAATTGCTCAGAGAAAGAGATTTCGTTCAACAAGAACTTTTTTCCTCAAAAAGGTAGTCAAAATAATTACACTCCTATTTTCAATACCTTTCCATTTTGACGTGTGCTTGGGGTTATTGTCTCGCTGGAAGATCCACTTGTGGCCAGGTTTCAGCCTCTTGGCAGAGGCAACCAGGTTTTTGGCTAAAATGTCCTGGCACTGGGTAAAGTTCATGATGCCTTTGACCTTAACAAGGCCCCAGGACCAGTGGAAGAAAAATAGCCCCATGTGTTTGTTTAATATATAATATATACCAATAATATAATAATATATTAGGATGTTAAGGACAGGACTCACTTCAGACAAATGTATGCTTTTGATTGATAAAACCCCCACTTAAACAGACAGAGAGAGAGAAGCCAGTAGCCAATGTAGGCTAAATGCCTTTATCTAGAGTGCAACCCAATCAACAGGACATATAAACCACTCTAGACCTTATCTGACAGTCAAACTATTAATACACTATCCTGCATCCCTTCAACAACTCTTCAGACAAACACAGGCTACAGTCAATTGTGTTTGATCAATACAAAATTACTAACTGAAATATGTTTTCTCTTTAAGACAAGACAGACATTAAAGTCATGTTTGCCAGAAGGAAAACATAAACAGCTCGGTAAAGGTAATTGGTTTGGCCTTTTCCAGATATCTGGAATGGTCCTGAATTCACTCAGTTCATTATGGGAGGAGTGCAATACAATACAATACAATACAACACAACACAATACAATAAAACACAACACAATACAATACAACATCACACCACACCACAACAAAACAAAGCACACCACACCATACCACACCACAACAAACCACACCACACCATACCACACCGCACCCCACCACAACAAAACAAAGCACACCACACCATACAACACCACACCACAACAAAGCACACCACACCCACACACAACAAATAACCACACCATACACACCAACACAAACACACAAAATCAACAAACCACACAACCATTACCACACCACACCACTCCACAACAAAGTATACCACACCACACCAAACAACATCACACCACACCATACCACAACAAAGCACACCACACAACCCCATACCACACCACACCACACCACAACAAAGTACACCACACCACACCATACCACACCACACCACACCATAACAAAGTACACAACACCACACCATACCACACCAACCACACACCACAACAAAGTACACCACACCACACCATACCACACCACACCACAACAAAGCATATCACATCACACCACACCACACCATACCACACACCAACACAACAACAAGGACACCACACCAACAACACCACACCATACCACCAACACAACAAACACACAACACACACACCACACCACACCATACACAACAACCACACCACAAACAAAGGACAAAAAAAACCACACCACACCACACCACACCACACCATACCACACCCAACACCCACAACCACAACAGTACACCACACCACACCATACCAGACCATACCACATCACACTACACCATAACAAAGCACACCACACCATACCACACCATACCACACCACACCATAACCACACCATACCACCAACAACACACACAACATCACACAACACCACATCATACCACACACACACCCACACCACACACAACAAAGTACACCACACCATACCACACCACACCATACCACACCACACCACAACAAAGGACACCACACCATACCATACCACACCATACCACTCCACACCACACCACACCACACCACAACAAAGTACACCACACCATACCACACCATACCACACCACCCCATACCATACCCATACCACCACACCACACACACCATAACAAAGTACACCACACCACACCCAACACCACCATACCACACCATACCACACCATACCATACCACACCACACCACCAACACCACACCACACCACACCACACCACACCATACCACAACAAAGCACACCACAACATACCACACCATACCACACTACACCACAACAAAGTACACAACACCATACCACACCACACCATACCCACCACCACCACACCACAAACAAAGTAACACACCACACCACACCACACCATACCACCACCACACCAACAACAAAGTCAACCCACATCATACCACACCATACCACACCATACCACACCACAACAAAGTACACCACACCACCACCATACCACACCACACCACAACAAAGTACACCACACCACACCATACCACACCATACCACAACAAAACACACCACATCACACCACACCACACCATACCACACCACACCACAACAAAGTACACCACACCATACCACACCACAACAAAGTACACCACACCACACCATACCACACCACAACAAATACACCACCACACCATACCACACCACACCATACCACACCACAACAAAGTACACCACACCATACCACAACAAAGTACACCATACCACAACAAAGTACACCATACCACACCACACCACACCATACCACACCACAACAAAGCACACCACATCATACCACACCACACCACAAGGTACACCACACCACACCACAACAAAGTACACCACACCACACCATGCCACACCACACCACACCATACCATACCACACCACACCACACCACAACAAAGTACACCACACCATACCACACCACACCATACCACACCACACCACACCATACCACACCACAACACAACAAAGCACACCACACAACAACACAACACAATACAAACCATGTGGATGTCTCAGAAAATGATCTGTCTGCTGTTGGTAGAGGGGTCAATAACAACACCTGAAAACATTTAAGAAATATTGATAATATTGATGATTTAAAAAGCATGACAACAAGCATCTTGTTTTTTAAGTAGGGACGGAGGAGGAGGGGGTTGAAGACACAATAATAACCTGATTGATTTGTCATTTTCAGGTTATATTGATTTGACTACACAATGCATCCAACTGATTATGGATGAGAGAACAGTGTTTGGAGTGGATCAGGAGAATTTTCATACGTGATGCATGGACGGGAATCCTTGGGAAACTACACTCTGATTGTGACTGTTTATGTCATCGTAATCTGTCATCCTCTTCCTCTCTCTCTCCTCTCTCTCTCTCTCTCTCTCTTCCTCTCCCCTCTCTCTTCCTCTCCCTCTCTCTCTCTCTCTCTCTCTCTCTCTCTTCCCCTCTCTCTCTCCCTCTCTCTCTCTCTCCCTCTCTCTCTTCCTCTCTCTCTCTCTCTCCTCTCTCTCTCTCACGCACTGCTGCTATTAATACATCCAATAAACACCACCTCTAGGATAGGGTTTAACTGCTGCTATTACTACATCCAATAAACACCTCTAGGATAGGGTTTAACTGCTGCTATTACTACATCTAATAAACACCACCTCTAGGATAGGGTTTAACTGCTGCCATTACTACATCCAATAAACACCTATAGGATAGGGTTTAACTGCTGCTATTACTACATCCAATAAACACCTCTAGGATAGGGTTTAACTGCTGCTATTACTACATCCAATAAACACCTCTAGGTTAGGGTTTAACTGCTGCTATTACTACATCCAATAAACACCTCTAGGATAGGGTTTAACTGCTGCTATTACTACATCTAATAAACACCTCTAGGATAGGGTTTAACTGCTGCTATTAATACATCCAATAAACACCACCTCTAGGATAGGGTTTAACTGCTGCTATTACTACATCCAATAAACACCTCTAGGATAGGGTTTAACTGCTGCTATTACTACATCTAATAAACACCTCTAGGATAGGGTTTAACTGCTGCTATTAATACATCCAATAAACACCACCTCTAGGATAGGGTTTAACTGCTGCTATTACTACATCCAATAAACACCACCTCTAGGATAGGGTTTAACTGCTGCTATTTCTGTTCTTTTTTGGTGTCTAGCGGGGCTGATACTGACTGGGGAGGGGGGGAGAGAGAGGGGGGGGGAGAGAGAGAGAGGGGGGAGAGCGAGAGAGAGGGGGGAAAGAGCGAGAGAGAGGGGGAAGAGCGAAGAGAGGGGAAAGAGCTATCTCTTTTGGAAATTTTGAGCGAAGAGAGGTGACTTTGCGAAGAGACAGGGGGGGAGTTTACTATTGCAGCTGGAATAAGCGTCCTCGCGCTACTCGCGTCTTTACTCGCTCAAATTCTCTTCTCTCTCTCTCGCTTTTCATATCTGCATCTCTAGCCTCTCTCGCTCTCATCCCCTTCCTCTTTCTGTTTCCGAGAGAGACTGGTTCAACATCTAATACTATTGCACCATCTTCTGGCCTTGTCAGTAACAACACACTGTGATCCTGTTGCTATGACGTTTTGAGGGATCTCAGAGTTGTAAAGGATTTAAAAGCTGTATAGATTTGGAGTAAATAGCTACTATGTCTACATGTAAGATTTTACCTGAATATCTCCAATATTGTAAAATCATGTAATTGTAAATTGACCATGGAAATTAGGCATTAGTTTAGAAATAACAAAATTGCATACATTTGTATGCATTAATCACCTCTACTGTGTTGGTGTGACCTAACCTCGATGTGTAAAGCTGCAATATGTAACTTTTTGGGCTACCCGACCAAATTCACATAGAAATCTCAGTTAGAGATCTGTCACTCATTTAAAGCAAGTCCAAGAAGCGGTAGATATGTTCTATGTGCGCTATTTCTATGCTTCCCGTTCTTAAATTTAGTTTTTGTGTCTTTTACTTTCAGTTTCATACACCACATTTTCAAATGAGCATCTTCGACTTCACATAAAATAGTCCACTGCACAACCTGAACGAAAGTTGGGCTACTTTTAAGTTCTTCAAGCGTGCATGTTATCCAGGTAAATACTTCCAGGTAACATTATTCTGAATGTAACGGGCGCGACTTCATAAAAGGCACATGCAGGGTCAGGGCGCATGCTCCGTTATGCCCAGGTGACAATAGAAGTCTCGTGCGTATCATACCGTTTTCCTACGGTGTGTTCAGAGCGAAGGTATCACGGTAAGTCAGGTGTTGAGCCATTAATAGCATACATACTGTGAAATGATCTGCATCTCTGTTGTCATGCAACACAATATATAGTCTACAAAACAAACATGTTTTTCTTCTTCTTTCAGGATCCAACACAGGATCTCCGATTGGTCCCTTGGTATCTCATTAAAACTGTTCAGTTTTAAAGGTCCAGTGCAGTGTTTTATATCTACTTTCACACTATGTGGTTGGAATAATTCTGTGAAATTTAGAAAATTATGATAATGCCCTTTTATTGTAAGAGCTGTTTGGAAAGACGTTACCTGGTGACGTCACCACATTTAGTTAAGAAAATTAGTTAAGTAAATTCTAAATCTCTCTGGCAATAACAGCTAGTTTTAGTTTTCCCATCACCACTCGGACCACTCCCAGACAGTCCTGGCAAAATTCTTGCTTGAGAAGTTGCTATTTGCAAAGAAGATATTTGTCTCTTTTTTACCATTTTAATTGAAAACATTCGCAGTAAGGTACTTAACTGTTAAGCAGAAATGATTTTATATTGAGATAGAAACGGCTGCATTGGGCCTTTAAAGTTCCATAGATTTTGGTTTTAAATTGCTCCTCTTCACGTTTTTAGTTCAAGTTATAGGTTGTGCTTATGGCATATTCCGCATTCATAACGTTTCTATTCCATGCACTTTTTTTTATTTTAGTTATTAACCCACCTGTTGCTTGTGGTGTTATAATTAGTGACAATTTGTGTGACTGTGTGTGTGTGCGTGTGTGTTTCTATAGAAACGGCTCAACACCTGCCTTCCCATGATACCTTCGCTCTGAACACACCGTAGGAAAACTTATGATACGCACGAGACATCTATTGTCACCTGGGCATAACAGAGCACGCGCCCTGACCCTGCATTTGCCTTTTATGAAGTCGCGCCCGTTACATTCAGACTAATGTTACCTGGAAGTATTTACCTGGATAACATGCACGCTTGAAGAACTTCAAAGTAGCCTAACTTTCGTTCAGGTTGTGCAGTGGACTATTTTATGTGAAGTCGAAGATGCTCATTTGAAAATGTGGACTGAATGGACTAAAATATCATTTAATGGCGTATCAATAATGACGACCGTCCTATCCTGTAACATTGTGGTTTACTACGTTGAAATTGGATCTCAAATACATTTGTATATGCGTGGGGAAATTATTTAGCATAGCCTTGGATACTTTGACCACAATCGTCATGAACTCTGAAAAGCCCAATTTTCTATCCCAACCTGTCGTGAAGAACATTTTCGTGTATCGAAATGGAGATCCCTTTTACGAGGCTCGCCGGTTAGTGGTAAACCCAAAAGAGAGTGTCCAATTTTGACACTTTTCTTCGAGATGTGACGGGGGGTGTGCAGGCTCCGTTCGGAGCGGTTCGGAACATCTACACCCCTAAAATGGGGCATCGGGTGGCCTGCCTGGACCACCTGCAGAGCGGGGAACAATATGTCGCTGCCGGGAGAGAGAAATTCAAGAAATTGGAGTGAGTAAGATCATTATGTGTGTGTAATAATTGTCTGTTGTATTAGTTAATGTAGATTATTGAATGATTCATTGATGTTCATTGATACTGAATGACAGACTCGCTGTCTGTGATGTTCACATTGTCATGGTCAAGTTGAGCTCACGTTACTGATGTTGCAATAGCTGTAAAATAGTGATAACCCTAAGTTGAACTGTTACAATTGGACGGTGTTCCCTAAACATGTACTGTACCTACTATAATTATTTATCTGTAAAGCAGCCTTTTGTTAAAGGGTTTGTAGAGATGGCATTTTCATCCACACTCCTTATAGAATCTATTCTTAGTAATGTATCTGGTATTTTATCACCTGAAAGGTTTTAAATGATAACTGTCACTCCATTGTAATTGCAATTACTTACATAGGAGCTTTGTAGAGATGGCATTGTGGCATTTGGACCACACTCCTCCTGGACACATATTCAGTTAAATTTCTGAACAATTAACCAATTATACCACAGATAATTGCAGTGTGTGTGTATAACTTTGCCACTCCATTGTAATTGCAGTTACTCACAGATAGGATCCAGAAAGAAAAAGATGCTTCAAACTATTTCAGGGCAGGTAAGATGACTTGTTACAATATCCTCCATTCACATCACTTTACCAGGATAAACTCACTAGATCATGTCTTTTACTGGTCCTGGCTTGCTGGCCATGACATTTGGCCTTCAAAAGGAAACATGTTTTGCATGTCAACATTCACTCACAAGAAGCCCTGTCCTATAATGTAAACAGCTTATCCCGAATAAGACCTTAAACGGGATATGAGCTACTACCCAGAATACTGTGCGCATGTAAACGTGGTCACTGACGTTACACCTTTCTTATCTGTGGGTGCCTGTTTGAGAAGCCCTGTCCCCTGGGTGCCTGTTTGAGAAGCCCTGTCCTCTGGGTGCCTGTTTGAGAAGCCCTGGCCTCTGGGTGCCTGTTTGAGAAGCCCTGTCCTCTGGGTGCCTGTTTGAGAAGCCCTGGCCTCTGGGTGCCTTTTTGAGAAGCCCTGGCCTCTGGGTGCCTGTTTGAGAAGCCCTGTCCTCTGGGTGCCTGTTTGAGAAGCCCTGTCCTCTGGATGCCTGTTTGAGAAAAATCAGCTTAGAAAGGTGTAACGTCAGTGACCACGTTTACATGCGCACAGTATTCTGGGTAGTAGCTCATATCCCGTTTAAGGTCTTATTTGGGATAAGCTGTTTACATGCATCTTTGATATCGCGCTCACCAGTATCCCTGTACCCATGAATTATCCCAATATTCCTCATTTAAGTTCATATCTGTTCAATGGAATAGTAACTGAAATATGGACACTGACTGTAGGACTATAACCTCCCACATGTAGCGTAATATAATATTAACTCCTGCAGAAATATGCATTTCTTGCAGTCAAATGTTATTTTAGTCTCGGGAACAGGAGTGGAGAAATATGATTTATTTCTTTCAGCATATCTTTAGAAAATGTGAATGCACGTGTAATGTGTTATCTTTGACACAGTGATTCAAGCAGACACTATTTCAACCACATAAAATATGCACCCAAGACAAACTTGAAGTCTCATCGGAAACGTGTTTCATCATTTTCTCAGCTTTTTCATGTCCTTAAAACCTGTCAAACTGATGACATTTGGACATTTTGCTTGGGAACAAACCTTCCACTGTTTTGAAGTTATTGCGTTTTCTCCCCAGTCCCTAAACGAAACAGACAACTTTACCGGTGTTAACTAGATTACTAATGCGTTCATTCTGTCGATGTAAGACATTATTCTGGTGAGCAGTGTTCGTTTTTCATTTTCTAGTTCGACAAGTTATGACAGAATAGAAGCTGCATGTATCTAACTATAGTTGACAAACAAATGGCCTACCAAATGTCCGACATTATAATATGGCCTGCCAAATGTCAGATATTATATAATATGGCCTACCGGAATGTCGGAAATAAGAAGCAGAAACTCGTCTAAATTAGGTGTGAAAGTAGCCAGTAGTCTAGGCTATACGGTCCAGTATGGAGTATCAGCAAAATAAATGATTATGGAATTATGGTGGATCGATCCGCCAGGTAGCCTACTTTCTGAAGTGATTTGTTTGACAATCAGATGAAAACGTCATCACAGAACACCCACGATCTGTGAAACTGAGCCTGTGCAGACCACGAAAAACAACAGTAAACGAAACGGGATAAAATGTATCCCGTCTAAGATTAGCATATCCCTGGAATCTTATTCGGGTATCTCATAACCGGGATCGAAGCTTTTTGGGGTTATTGTAAACGGGATATGATGTTTGTATGCGTCAACTCAAAAACAGAATACTGGAGTATCCCGAATAATAACAGGATATTGGTGTGCATGTAAACGTGGTCAGTGCTGTTTGAGAGAATTCAGCTTAGCGAGGTGAATGCCAGTGTTTAGTCACCTCCTTTGTGGTTTGTGAATAATCATTTTGTTGACGGATCAGTGACTATGAATGATTAATGTATGATCATAATCAGCCTCCTTCAATACATCTTTAATCAACCGTTGTTGGCCGCAAAGTGCCTTGTGGTCAGATATATATCTTACCACACACCGAGCGGTGGAAACACTGACGTCACTTGTCCGTGGCCACCTTGTCCAGCGCCAAGGGTTTTTATTTACAATCAGCACAGGCTCTGTCCCAAATGGCACCCTATTCCCTATATAGTGCACCACTTTTGACCAGGGTCCATAGGGCCTATTGTGCTCTGGCCAAAAGTAGAGGGCACTATATAGGGAATAGAATGCCATTTAGGACAGAGCCACTGCAATGGTTTCTGTTGTAATCATGACTAGTAAAGGTTTAATAGGCCAATCTATATATGAGAGCCACGCTCACGACTGCCATTTTTCCTCTGATTGGTTCAATTAAAGAGGCCCTCAAACAACACTCAGAACCCTGGCTATGGCTAAAGACAGCCTGCTGTGGGTCTGTCTGCCACACTGAAGAGGAAGTAGAGCTAGGATGGACTGTAAGACAGCCTGCTGTGGGTCTGTCTGCCACACTGAAGAGGAAGTAGAGCTAGGATGGACTGTAAGACAGCCTGCTGTGGGTCTGTCTGCCACACTGAAGAGGAAGTAGAGCTAGGATGGACTGTAAGACAGCCTGCTGTGGGTCTGTCTGCCACACTGAAGAGGAAGTAGAGCTAGGATGGACTGTAAGACAGCCTGCTGTGGGTCTGTCTGCCACACTGAACAGGAAGTAGAGCTAGGATGGACTGTAAGACAGCCTGCTGTGGGTCTGTCTGCCACACTGAAGAGGAAGTAGAGCTGGGATGGACTGTAAGCTAGGTTCAGGACTGTTGCTGCCATCATGGACTGTAAGCTAGGTTCAGGACTGTTGCTGCCATCATGGACTAAGCTAGGTTCAGGACTGTTGCTGCCATCATGGACTGTAAGCTAGGTTCAGGACTGTTGCTGCCATCATGGACTAAGCTAGGTTCAGGACGGTTGCTGCCATCATGGACTGTAAACTAGGTTCAGGACGGTTGCTGCCATCATGGACTGTGAGCTAGGTTCAGGACTGTTGCTGCCATCATGGACTAAGCTAGGTTCAGGACTGTTGCTGCCATCATGGACTGTGAGCTAGGTTCAGGACTGTTGCTGCCATCATGGACTGTGAGCTTGGTTCAGGACTGTTGCTGCCATCATGGACTAAGCTAGGTTCAGGACTGTTGCTGCCATCATGGACTGTGAGCTAGGTTCAGGACTGTTGCTGCAATCATGGACTAAGCTAGGTTCAGGACTGTTGCTGCCATCATGGACTAAGCTAGGTTCAGGACTGTTGCTGCCATCATGGACTGTAAGCTAGGTTCAGGACTGTTGCTGCCACCATGACTGTAAGCTAGGTTCAGGACTGTTGCTGCCATCATGACTGTAAACTAGGTTCAGGACTGTTGCTGCCTCCATGACTGTAAACTAGGTTCAGGTCTGTTGCTTCCACCGTGGACTGTAAGCTAGGTTCAGGACTGTTGCTGCCATCATGGACTGTAAGCTAGGTTCAGGACTGTTGCTGCCACCATGGAGTGTACGCTAGGTTCAGGACTGTTGCTGCCACCATGACTGTAAACTAGGTTCAGGACTGTTGCTGCCATCATGGACTGTAAGCTAGGTTCAGGACTGTTGCTGCCATCATGGACTGTTATCTAGGTTCAGGTCTGTTTCTGCCACCATGGACTGTAAGCTAGGTTCAGGACTGTTGCTGCCATCATGGACTGTAAGCTAGGTTCAGGACTGTTGCTGCCATCATGGACTGTAAGCTAGGTTCAGGACTGTTGCTGCCACCATGACTGTAAGCTAGGTTCAGGACTGTTGCTGCCACCAAGGACTGTAAGCTAGGTTCAGGACTGTTGCTGCCACCATGACTGTAAACTAGGTTCAGATCTGTTGGTGCCACCATGGACTGTAAGCTAGGTTCAGGTCTGTTGCTGCCACCGTGCACTGTAAGCTAGGTTCAGGACTGTTGCTGCCATCATGGACTGTAAGCTAGGTTCAGGACTGTTGCTGCCATCATGGCGCATTGGTCAGAATGCAATGAACAAGGACGTGGAGAACAAGGATGTTGAGATGTAGAGAACAAGGATGTGGAGAACCAGGATGTGGAGAACCAGGATGTGGAGAACCAGGATGTGGAGGACAAGGATGTGGAGAACAAGGATGTGGAGAACAAGGATGTAGAGAACAAGGATGTGGAGGACAAGGATGTGGAGAACAAGGATGTGGAGAACAAGGATGTGGAGAACAAGGATGTGGAGAACCAGGACGTGGAGATCCAGGATGTGGAGAACAAGGATAGTCTGAAAGGGAGATACAGAATGGAAACATTAGGAACACATAACAGAGGAGCAGACAAAGTAGTCCCAGAGGGTTATCCTACCAGGCAGGTTGAGGAGTTAGAGAGGTAACGTTGATCCCAGAGGGTTATCCTACCAGGCAGGTTGAGGAGTTAGAGAGGTAACGTTGATCCCAGAGGGTTATCCTACCAGGCAGGTTGAGGAGTTAGAGAGGTAACGTTGATCCCAGAGGGTTATCCTACCAGGCAGGTTGAGGAGTTAGAGAGGTAACGTTGATCCCAGAGGGTTTATCCTACCAGGCAGGTTGAGGAGTTAGAGAGGTAACGTTGATCCCAGAGGGTTATCCTACCAGGCAGGTTGAGGAGTTAGAGAGGTAACGTTGATCCCAGAGGGTTATCCTACCAGGCAGGTTGAGGAGTTAGAGAGGTAACGTTGATCCCAGAGGGTTATCCTACCAGGCAGGTTGAGGAGTTAGAGAGGTAACGTTGATCCCAGAGGGTTATCCTACCAGGCAGGTTGAGGAGTTAGAGAGGTAACGTTGATCCTAGAGGGTTATCCTACCAGGCAGGTTGAGGAGTTAGAGAGGTAACGTTGATCAACTCTTGAGTTCAACTCGGGATAACCAGTCATACTGTGATGCGTGATTTGAAGGAGTCAGACGCAGGAGGGTAAATCACAGTATACAGAGTTTATTCCGTAATACAGCATTAACCAGTCCAGTGCGCAAAACAGGCGCAATGGAACAAACAGGCACACAGGGAAAATACCCCGGTAATACAAAATACACTGAGCTCAACCGAGCTACTATCTCCTCACAATAAACAATCACCCACAAGGACAAGGGGGGGCAGAGGGAACACTTATACACATACTAATGAGGGGATATGAACCAGGTGTGTGTAATAGACAAGACAAAACAAATGGAATGATGAGATATGGAGTGGCAGTGGCTAGAAGGCTGGAGACGACGAACGCCGAAGCCTGCCCGAACAAGGAGAGGAGGCAGCTTCGGTGGAAGTCGTGACACATACGAAAGTTGTCACAAGCAGGGCTTGAACTCCGGTCACAGATGTGGAGAGCTGGGGGTTCTACCCCTTAGCCACAGAGGAGGGGTAGTTGGACCCAAATGAAACACCCAAGGCAATCCTCCAGGCAAGTAGATTTAATGCAACAAAACAGGAGGCAAAACAAAATAGCTCCACGAGGGGAGAAAAACAAACTAAAGACAACTTAGAACAGCTTACTTGAAAAGACACGGTGGGACAAAGCAGGAGACACATAGCCAGGACTCAATAACCAAGTGAGAAACAAGGGGCAAACACACAGCTAAAATACACAAGGGGAAACAAGGCACAGGTGACCTGGATCAAGCTAATTAGGACACACGAGGAAGAACTAAGGCAGAGGGGAACACAGATGACCTCTAGAGGCCCGGAGACAAACAGGAGGCAGGAAGCTGACAAAAGTGGCTCACCTTTTAGCCAGGTAATTTTTATGGCAACGAATCCTCCAGAACTAATCTGCTAATTCCACATAACCTGAATAAAATGACTGAGCAATGAGTTGAGGACCAATGAAAGCAGATTCCCTCCCGCTTGCAAAGATTGCATCATCCCCCTCATTTGAGGAAGATGGTTAATTAAATATTGTATTCATCAAATGTTTTGTGTTTTAAAATAGTAATGTTAAAATATGTATTACACAAAACCAAAGTCGGTATTAATGATAAGTAACAAATTAAAGACTTCTAAAAGCCCTTTCATTTAGATTTCAGCACAAATGAAAATGTGTCACTGACTCGCCCATGGATTGATGTTTCAGCATCGTCTCAATGAAGAGTTGGCCGTTCGACTAGCCATGTGCGACAATGCACGCGCAGTTACAAGCCTGCTAGAGTTGGGGGCAGGCGGACGAGCAATATCCACCGTCGTAGTACAGATGAAGCCTGAGCTGGAATGTGAAGCTAACTGAAGCTGGCTAGCTTTAGAAGACCCAGATCTAGCTTGCTCCATAGGATACCCTCTGGTGACTCCGGGGAATAGGCTTAACATCCAACATCCGGCTGAGGAGACTGCCAGGATAGACATAAAGGAGAAATGAGCATGACCAAACATCACATGGATATCAAAGGGATATAACGTAGGCCACCGCATATACTGTATACATAAACATTTAGGATTTCTATTTCTCCATACAGTATATAATAACAAAGAGCAATTACTTCATCATATCACACCCAATGGAAGGATAGGGCCGCCCCATGGCATCACCACCATCAACTGAACTGCTAGAAAGGAAGGAGCGTGCAGCTTGTACGGGGAAACAGAGGAGTCAGAAAGGAAGGAAGGAGCGTGCAGCTTGTACGGGGAAACAGAGGAGTCAGAAAGGAAGGAACGGGAGCGTGCAGCTTGTACGGGGAAACAGAGGAGTCAGAAAGGAAGGAAGGCGCATGCAGCTTGTACGGGGAAACAGAGGAGTCAGAAAGGTAGAGGAGAGGTGATTAAGGGAGAGTGAACACTCTCACACACACACACCACACACACACACACACACACACACACACAAACACCACACACACACACTCTCAACACAAAACCACACACCACCACACAACACCAAAAACACACACACACCACCACTCTCACACAAACCACTTCACACAAAAACACACACAAACAACAACACACACACACTCTCACACACCACACACACACACTAGGACACACACACACACACAACACACACACACACCACACAACACACACACCACACACACAACACCACACACACACACACACACACACACAACACAGCATGGCCCAGGCGGCTAAACACCAGACAACCCACTGACAACCCACTGGGCTCTAAGGCTTTGATCCTCAGAGAGTTATTAAGGTTGTCAGGGAGCACAATAGACAGTGTTCTCTCTCACCAGGGAAGAGGTTTATTTTGGTTCCAAAATGTGTTATCTTTTTTTGTTTGTTTTATGAACGCTTTCGGTTATTAAAATAGCCTCAATATGAGATGTTTTACTTGTTCACTTTAAGGAGGTATTATGTATATTGCCCAGTACATTTGACGTTAGTCATATAACCTCTAAAAGTCTTAAGTCAGGGGGAATTTGGTATTTACTACTCTGACCCATAGAAACGCATTAAATAACACATTCAGAAATGTCAAAAAACAGTCACAAATGACATAATAAGGAATAAGGTTTTGAAGTGTATGTCCTTTATCTAGGAGATAGAAGTAAGATCAGGAAGTAATGGAGTTTTGTTGGACACATATTTAACCCCCTTTTTTTTTTTTTACCCTTTTTTTTTGTTGCCACAAAACTATCTCCATACTTCCATTCATTTGTATGGGTTACCTTCAGACGAGACCCATGACGCTTGTGGGGGTCATAGAGCAAAACGTGAGAGTCTCATCTTTCCATAGAGTGGTCATATTAGTTTATAGGCACGGGTGCGTCAATACACTCTTAGGGATTAGCAGACGCTCTTATCCAGAGCCACTTCAATTAGTGCATTCGTCTTAAGATAGCTAGGTGGGACAACCACATATCACAGTCATAGTAAGTACACTTTTCCTCGGGGTGAGAGGGAAGTGCGAGGTGGGGTGCTGTGGGATTATTTAAGATACTCAGTAATTCAGCGACTGTAAAACAAAGCGTAACCAAAGATGTGATGCAGTCAATCTCTCCTCTACTTTTAGCCTTACCCACAGGCTAAACCGGTGCCCCAGAGTCGAATCATTGTATCAGCAAGATTCCTGAAACCCATCAAAGAGCCCTGTGCGATTTTGTAAGTTCAACTTGTGTGCATTTCTCCCTGTGTGAATGTGTGTGTGTGTGTTTGTGTGAATATACAGGTAGACCCTACATCATCACAGTTGTTTGTGATTGTATTTATTTGTTGTGTCTGCATTGATGAACATGTATACTGGATCCTAAACTGAACTGATGCATGATCTTAATTGTGTTCTATTGAAGCAATAAGGCCCGAGGGGGTGTGATATATTGCCAATATACTACGGCTAAGGGCTGTTCTTATGCACGACGCAACACGGTGTGCCTGGACACAGCCCTCAGCCGTGGTATATTGGCCATATATCACACACCCACAAGGTGCCTTATTGCTATTATAAACTGGTTACCAACGTAATTAGAGCAGTAAAAATAAATGTTTTGTCATAACCGTGGTATAGGGTCTGATATACCACGGCTGTCAGCCAATCAGCATTCAGGGCTCGAACCACCCAGTTTATAATTACATTTACATTTGAGTCATTTAGCAGACACTCTTATCCAGAGCGACTTACAGTGCATTCATCTTAAGATAGCTTGGTAAGAAAGCCACGTATTACAGTCATAGTAAGTATGTTATATGTTCTGATTCTCTTGTCAGTGTGGTAGCGAATGGTGATGTGTTGAACCCAGCTTTAAGGCTGCTGATACCCCAGCGGATACTTGGCCAGTATGACAGGGTTCTGGAGATGATCACGGACAAAATGGGCTTGAGAATCCTGGGGTGTGTACGAAGGTACCAAACGTCATTAGTTACACTTCAATAGATGTTGATTAAGTCAATTCTAAATCTGTTTCATCAACTTTTGGGGCCCGTTTCCCAGACACAGATTAAACCTAGTCCACGTCTAAACAGCATTCTCAATGGGAATTCTCCTTTCAAATAAATTTCTGGTCCAGGATTAGGCTTAATCTGTGTCTGGGAAACTCGCCCTGTGAGTTTCATTGTCATCGTAAGAATAGATCTGGTTTATATCTTCTTCTTCTTCTTTTCTTCTTAGTCTTTTGTACTTCTATTCTTTTCTTTTTGTCGTCTTCTAGTTCTGATTAGTCTTCTTCTTCATGGTTCCTCATCTTCATATCTTCTGGTCGGATAGCGTTATTGTTGAGAGCTGTGGTTCTAGCTCGTAGCAGTCTTCACATGGTCATTTGCTTCGGCTTCTTCTTCTTCATTATTCTAGCTTCTTCTTCTTCTTGTTCTTCTTCTTCTTTCTTCTGCTTCTTCTGTTCTTCTTATTCTTATTCATTTCTGTGGGGTTCGTTAGTCTTATTCTTTTATCTTCTATCTCTTCTTTCTTCGTTCTATTCTTCTTCTTCCTTCTTTCTGTCTTCTTCTTCTTCTTCTTCTTCTTCTTCTTCTTCAATGGCTGTGTTTTCTTTTTACAGCCTTTATACCTTTGATGGAAATCATGTGAATGATGGAAAGGACTTGGAGAGTGGACAGTTTTACGTGGCTGTTGGGAGAGACAAGTTTAAAAGGCTTCTTACAGTGACCTTCTGTTCACCAAACCAGGGGGAATACGAAGGACTATAGGGTAAAGATCTCAGAAGGCTTCTAACTCATGGATTGTTCCTTTGTTCATTCCTCACTTTTAACTCTTTAACTCATGAATTGTTCTCTCCTTTTTTAGACTCTCTCCATCTCCGTTACAGAAGTTTCTTACACTTTATGTCTGAAGCACAATGCATTTTAGACTGTTGGTTTTCTGTTTTCTGTAAATCATCTGATCTTTCTTACACATTATGTTTTGTTTTTCCAGATCCAAAGCTTCCTCATTACCTCCCATATACAGATTTGGAAAGCAAAACAGAAACGGTGTAAGTATTGTCTCGAAAAGACAACTTGAAAAGCCAACTTCTTTGAACATGAGCTCTTATTCTTTCTTTCTTTAAGTCTTAATAATAAAACAGTTGACTTACAGTGGGGAAAAAAAGTATTTAGTCAGCCACCAATTGTGCAAGTTCTCCCACTTAAAAAGATGAGAGGCCTGTAATTTTCATCATAGGTACACGTCAACTATGACAGACAAAATGAGGAAAAAAATTCCAGAAAATCACATTGTAGGATTTTTTATGAATTTATTTGCAAATTATGGTGGAAAATAAGTATTTGGTCAATAACAAAAGTTTGTCAATACTTTGTTATATACCCTTTGTTGGCAATGACACAGGTCAAACGTTTTCTTTAAGTCTTCACAAGGTTTTCACACACTGTTGCTGGTATTTTGGCCCATTCCTCCATGCAGATCTCCTCTAGAGCAGTGATGTTTTGGGGCTGTCGCTGGGCAACACGGACTTTCAACTCCCTCCAAAGATTTTCTATGGGGTTGAGATCTGGAGACTGGCTAGGCCACTCCAGGACCTTGAAATGCTTCTTACGAAGCCACTCCTTCGTTGCCCGGGCGGTGTGTTTGGGATCATTGTCATGCTGAAAGACCCAGCCACGTTTCATCTTCAATGCCCTTGCTGATGGAAGGAGGTTTTCACTCAAAATCTCACGATACATGGCCCCATTCATTCTTTCCTTTACACAGATCAGTCGTCCTGGTCCCTTTGCAGAAAAACAGCCCCAAAGCATGATGTTTCCACCCCCATGCTTCACAGTAGGTATGGTGTTCTTTGGATGCAACTCAGCATTCTTTGTCCTCCAAACACGACGAGTTGAGTTTTTACCAAAAAGTTCTATTTTGGTTTCATCTGACCATATGACATTCTCCCAATCCTCTTCTGGATCATCCAAATGCACTCTAGCAAACTTCAGACGGGCCTGGACATGTACTGGCTTAAGCAGGGGGACACGTCTGGCACTGCAGGATTTGAGTCCCTGGCGGCGTAGTGTGTTACTGATGGTAGGCTTTGTTACTTTGGTCCCAGCTCTCTGCAGGTCATTCACTAGGTCCCCCCGTGTGGTTCTGGGATTTTTGCTCACCGTTCTTGTGATCATTTTGACCCCACGGGGTGAGATCTTGCGTGGAGCCCCAGATCGAGGGAGATTATCAGTGGTCTTGTATGTCTTCCATTTCCTAATAATTGCTCCCACAGTTGATTTCTTCAAACCAAGCTGCTTACCTATTGCAGATTAAGTCTTCCCAGCCTGGTGCAGGTCTACAATTTTGTTTCTGGTGTCCTTTGACAGCTCTTTGGTCTTGGCCATAGTGGAGTTTGGAGTGTGACTGTTTGAGGTTGTGGACAGGTGTCTTTTATACTGATAACAAGTTCAAACAGGTGCCATTAATACAGGTAACGAGTGGAGGACAGAGGAGCCTCTTAAAGAAGAAGTTACAGGTCTGTGAGAGGCCAGAAATCTTGCTTGTTTGTAGGTGACCAAATACTTATTTTCCACCATAATTTGCAAATAAATTCATTAAAAATCCTACAATGTGATTTTCTGGAAAAAAAATTCTCTATTTGTCTGTCATAGTTGACGTGTACCTATGATGAAAATTACAGGCCTCTCTCATCTTTTTAAGTGGGAGAACTTGCACAATTGGTGGCTGACTAAATACTTTTTTTCCCCACTGTATCTAATGTTGACGCTCCTTTATCAATCCATAAGACTAAACATCAAAACAGTTGACTTATCTAATGTTGACGCTCCTTTATCAATCCATAAGACTAAACATCAAAACAGTTGACTTATCTAATGTTGACGCTTCTTTATCATTCCACAAGACTAAACATCAAAACAGTTGAGTTATCTAATGTTGACACTCCATTATTATTCCATAAGACTAAACATCAAAACAGTTGAATTATCTAATGTTGACACTCCATTATCATTCCATAAGACTAAACATCAACAAAGTTGACTTATCTAATGTTGACGCTCCTTTATCATTCCATAAGACTAAACATCAAAACAGTTGACTTATCTAATGTTGACGCTCCTTTATCAATCCATAAGACTAAACATCAAAACAGTTGACTTATCTAATGTTGACGCTTCTTTATCATTCCATAAGACTAAACATCAAAACAGTTGACTTATCTAATGTTGACGCTTCTTATCATTCCATAAGACTAAACATCAAAACAGTTGGACTTATCTAATTTTGACGCCTCCATTATCATTCCATAAGACTAAATATCAAAACAGTTGACTTATCTAATGTTGACGCTCCTTTATCAATCCATAAGACTAAACATCAAAACAGTTGACTTATCTAATGTTGACGCTTCTTTATCATTCCATAAGACTAAACATCAAAACAGTTGACTTATCTAATGTTGACGCTTCTTTATCATTCCATAAGACTAAACATCAAAACAGTTGACTTATCTAATTTTGACGCTCCATTATCATTCCATAAGACTAAATATCAAAACAGTTGACTTATCTAATGTTGACGCTCCTTATCAATCCATAAGACTAAACATCAAAACAGTTGGACTTATCTAATGTTGACGCTTCTTTATCATTCCATAAGCCCTAAACATCAAAAACTGTTGACTTATCTAATGTTGACACTCCATTATCATTCCATAAGACTAAACATCAAAACAGTTGACTTATCTAATGTTGACGCTTCTTTATCATTCCATAAGACTAAACATCAAAACAGTTGACTTATCTAATGTTGACGCTCCTTTATCAATCCATAAGACTAAACATCAAAACAGTTGACTTATCTAATGTTGACGCTCCATTATCATTCCATAAGACTAAACATCAAAACAGTTGACTTATCTAATGTTGACGCTTCTTTATCAATCCATAAGACTAAACATCAAAACAGTTGACTTATCTAATGTTGACGCTTCTTTATCATTCCATAAGACTAAATATCAAAACAGTTGACTTATCTAATGTTGACACTCCATTATCATTCCATAAGACTAAACATCAAAACAGTTGACTTATCTAATGTTGACGCTTCTTTATCATTCCATAAGACTAAACATCAAAACAGTTGACTTATCTAACTGGTGACCACTCCATTATCATTCCATAAGACTAAACATCAAAACAGTTGACTTATCTAATTTGACGTTCCATTATCATTCCAAAGACTAAACATCAAAACAGTTGACTTATCTAATGTTGACGCCTTCTTTATCAATCCATAAGACTAAACATCAAAACAGTTGAACTTATCTAATGTTGACGATTCTTTATTATTCCATAAGACTAAACATCAAAACAGTTGACTTATCTAATGTTGACACTCCATTATCATTCCATAAGACTAAACATCAAAACAGTTGACTTATCTAATGTTGACGCTCCATTATTATTCCAATAAGACTAAAACATCAAACAAGTTGGACTTATCTAATGTTGACCACTCCATTATCATCCATAAGAACTCAAACATCAACAAAGTTGACTTATTCTAATGTTGACGCTCCTTTATCATTCCATAAGACTAAACATCAAAAACAGTTGACTTATCTAATGTTGACGCTCCTTTATCAATCCATAAGACTAAACATCAAAAACAGTTTGACTTATCTAATGTTGACGCTTCTTTATCATTCCATAAGACTAAACATCAAAACAGTTGACTTATCTAATGTTGACGCTCTTATCATTCCATAAGACTAAACATCAAAACAGTTTGACTTAATCTAATTTGACGCTCCATTATCATTCCATAAGACTAATATCAAAACAGTTGACTTATCTAATGTTGACGCTCCTTTATCAATCCATAAGACTAAACATCAAAACAGTTTGACTTATCTAATGTTGACGCTTCTTTGATCATTCCATAAGAACTAAACATCAAAACAGTTGACTTATCAATGTTGACGCTTCTTTATCATTCCATAAGACTAACATCAAAACAGTTGACTTATCTAATGTTACGCTCCTTTATCAATCCATAAGACTAAACATCAAAACAGTTGACTTATCTAATGTTGACGCTTCTTTATCATTCCATAAGACTAAACATCAAAACAGTTGACTTATCTAATGTTGACGCTTCTTTATCATTCCATAAGACTAAACATCAAAACAGTTGACTTATCTAATTTTTGACGCTCCATTATCATTCCATAAGACTACAATATCAAACAGTTGACTTATCTAATGTTGACGCTCCTTATCAATCCATAAGACTAAACTCAAAACAGTTGACTTATCTAATGTTGACGCTTCTTTATCATTCCATAGCCTAAAACATCAAAACTGTTGACTTATCTAATGTTGACAACTCCATTATCATTCCATAAGACCTAAACATCAAAACAGTTGACTTATCTAATGTTTGACGCTTCTTTATCATTCCATAAGACTAAAACATCAACAGTTGACTATCTAATGTTGACGCTCCTTTATCAATCCATAAGACTAAACATCAAAACAGTTGACTTATCTAATGTTGACGCTCCATTATCATTCCATAAGACTAAACATCAAAACAGTTGACTTATCTAATGTTGACGCTTCTTTATCAATCCATAAGACTAAACATCAAAACAGTTGACTTATCTAATGTTGACGCTTCTTTATCATTCCATAAGACTAAACATCAAAACAGTTGACTTATCTAATGTTGACACTCCATTATCATTCCATAAGACTAAACATCAAAACAGTTGACTTATCTAATGTTGACGCTTCTTTATCATTCCATAAGACTAAACATCAAAACAGTTGACTTATCTAATGTTGACACTCCATTATCATTCCATAAGACTAAAACATCAAACAGTTGACTTATCTAATGTTGACGCTCCATTATCATTCCATAAAGACTAACCATCAAAAACAGTTGACTTATCTAATGTTGACGCTTCTTTATCAATCCATAAGACTAAACATCAAAACAGTTGACTTATCTAATGTTGACGCTTCTTTATTATTCCATAAGACTAAACATCAAAACAGTTGACTTATCTAATGTTGACACTCCATTATCATTCCATAAGACTAAACATCAAAACAGTTGACTTATCTAATGTTGACGCTCCATATCATTCCATAAGACTAAACATCAAAACAGTTGACTTATCTAATGTTGACGCTCCTTTATCATTCCATAAGACTAAACATCAAAACAGTTGACTTATCTAATGTTGACGCTTCTTTATCAATCCATCAGACTAAACATCAAGACCAACAGATTATCCCTGAATTCTCTTCAATATAAAGCACTTTGTGACATGTTCTTAGGGCTATATCAATATTGATTCTATCTCTCCCCAGTTGACGGTCCACCACAGTAAGTCTATAGTGCAGTGCAGCGAGCCAGCAGACTCGAAGATATCTGCGCGTGACAAGGACCGCACGTTGTCCATCGTCAGGGAGATCTCCCAGCGGAGACTCATAATCCTCAGGAAGAGGAGGAGTGGTCTCAGCATCTCCCTGGGAACACAGGACAACGGTAGGAATGGCCCCCCGACTGACTGAGATACTAGAGCCACGACCCATGGCACCCTGTTCCCTATATAGTGCCCCCATAGGGGCTCTGGTCAAAATGTGTGCACTGTATAGGGAACAGGGTGCCATTTGCGACACCCCCAAGCTCATCCTCGTCCTCCTTAGACACGGTATAATCTTGAAGAAAGGGGAATTTACAGAGTCCTCCTTCTCACCTGACACTATAATCCTCCAAATAAAAAGGATAGCACACACAGGAACTAACAAAGTACTGTAGGGGTTCATTACAGACCCAATCATTTGGCGTCTTGTGGATAGAGGGTCCTCCTCTTCAGGCACAGCCTTTTAATCATCCAACAAGGGGAAAGCGACATACTGTACTAGTCTAGCACTGAAATGACCCCATCTCCATCTCCAACCTCAGTGTTTGTTGGTCCTGTGGCTGAGACATGGGCTACGTCCCAAATGGGACCCTATTCCCTATATAGTGTCCCATAGGGCTCTGGTCAAACGTAGTGCACTATATAGGGAACTGTGTGTAATTTGGGACAGAGCCCTAGGGTAACTCATGTGTTAATGTGTGAACCTGATCTGCCTGTTCTCACCTCCAGCTTATGACATCCACACACACACACACCCTGATGCCCACCCAGTTGGCATTGATGCAAACCAGCTTCTAGCTGCCACTGTGTGATAAATGACAGGGATTCAGATATAATTGGTATTAACAGCATGCGGACAGTAACATTTATTCATTTTGATAGGCCATTCAACCCAACTGGGGTTGTTAGAGATTATTCCCTATCGGATGCCATTCAACCTAACTGGGGTAGTAAGAGCTTATTCCCTATCGGATGCCTAGTCATTTATCAGTAGGCCTAGTGAGTGTGTGTGTGTGTCTCTTTCACTCTCTACAGTGAGGGAAAAAAGTATTTGATCCCCTGCTGATTTTGTACGTTTGTCACACCCTGGTTCTGGGACTCATTATTGTTGAGCCAGGTGTGTGTGCAGTCTATGTGTTATGTTCTATGTTGGGTGTCTAGGTTGTTTGTTTTCTATGTTTGGTCAATGACTCCCAATCGAGGTAACGAGTGTCAGCTGTCGCTCGTTATCTCTGATTGGGAGCCATATTTTATACGGTGTGTTTTCACCTTGGGGTTGTGGGGTTTTGTTCCGTTCTGTCAGTTAGCAGAGGACTTCACGAATCGTCGTTTGTTTTTTGTATTACGTGCTTACTCTATAAAGTTATCATGTTCACTCAACGCGCTGCGCTTTGGTCCGTTCATTCATCAGACGATCGTGACAGAAAACCCCACCCATAGAAGGACCAAGCAGCGTGTCCAGGAGGCAAGGACAGCTGGACATGGGAGGAAGCGCCTGGTAAAGAGATCGAGAGGCTGGCGATGGCCCAGGTGGGCAAATCTTGGTCCTGGGAGGACATGCTCGGGGCAAGGGACCTTGGGGGAAGATCAAGCCCTGGCGAGAGAGGAGCAACGGCGTCAGCAGGGCCATCATCGTTGAAGGAGACGAGAGGCAAACCCCAAAAAGTTTTTTTTGGGGGGGGCACATGGCTTGGACGACGGGGCTAACGGAGGCAGAGAAGGGGGGGGAATTCAAGGGCAACCAGGTTTCGGGGGTCACGGCCCAAAAAAGGGAAAGGGGGATGTAAGGCCCGGCGTGAGAGGGACTTTTTAAGGT